CCTGTTATCTTGCTTGCTAGGCAGGAACCTCATTTCTAAATATTTATTGATAGTGGGACAGGTAAAAATAGAAAAATCTTCGCTCTAGCTGCTTGTGAATTATCGGCCTATCAAAAAGAAGCCCCGCTTGGCTTGCATGCATTTAGTGGAAATGACTATAATTCGTTATTTTCATGTACGAAGAGTGTGTACATGAAGTGGGGCTGCTCGATGTCCGGGAACGCAGGTAGGTAGATGGATAGATAGGTGGGTATGTAGCTAGTTAAGTAGGTAGGTAGAAAGGGAGATAGGGAGGTAGGTAGGTAAGTAGATAGGGAGGAAGGTAGAAAGGAAGGTAGGTAGGTAGGTATTTTTTAGAAAAAGTTGGAAGCTTATGCAAGGCACAAAAGCATTCGTCACAACTTTCGCAAAGCTAGGGGCATCAAGTAATCCTATAAATTATGTAATTGGGGGTATTGGAAGGTTTACGTGTGCGTTGTTTGGAGAAAAGAGATTATCGTCTGTTCATGATATTCAACGGAAACATTTTTGGAAAAATTTTTCAAGGGGTCAAAAATCACAGACTTCTCTTTGCAGCCACCATGCAAAAACAGCCTTTTAAGATACATCAAGCGTTGCAAATTACATTGCACATATGTGCAGACAAGCCTCTCAACCAATGATAGAGCAAGAAGGCTCAAGTACACCACGTGTGGAAAGGTGACTTTTCCAATTCTGTTTAATGAATTTCTTTCGCAAAATCCAGAGGATGTTCGAAACTACTTAGATCTTTTGAAACTACAGGATTGGCTGCATGCAAATAAACTTTCCCTGAACGTAGTGAAAACGCAGTCACTTGTTATAGGCTCGAAAGCCAGCCTGATGCTCCACCATCTTTTTCTTTTTCAATAGGTGATCAGAACATTGAAATGATCACCAACACAAGATACTTAGGCGTTCAGATAGACAGTAAGCTCAACTGGGACAAGCATATCGATACTATCAAGACCAAGGCTAATTGAGCCCTTGGACTTATTAAGTATTCTAAGAAATATCTTCCATCTGACATCCTCATCAAAATGTATAGAGAAATTCTTGAGCCCCATTTGAGCTACTGTTGTTCCGTTTGGGGCTGCTGTAATGAATCAAAGCTTGACGTGTTGCAAAAAATCCAAAATGGAGCTGCCAGAATTGTAACTAGCAGCCCATACGATGCGTCTGCTGCTCCGATAATTCAAAATCTTGGCTGGTTAACCATCAGAAATCTTGTAAGAAAGGAGACAGTCACGCTAACTTACAAATCTCTAAATATGCTTGCACCAGACTACTTGAGAAAAATATTCGAAAAATGTTCGGATGATAGAGAACGGTTTCTGCGTTCATCAGAAACTGATCTTAAGATACCGCTGCTAAAAACGATAAATGGCCAAAAGGCTTTTTCTTATCGCGGTCCAAAACTGTGGAACAGTCTAGAAAGGGCTACAAAATTGGCCCCCTCCCTGAAAACCTTCAAAGAACAACTATAGTCGGGGACAACTTTTATTTCATCTTTACGTTCACTTTTTATAGCCTTAGTATTATTAAATATTGTAAATTAGGTTTGATTGGTAAATTTCTTCGGTTACTAGTATTTTAACATAGTTATTAGCTCTTATTTTAATCTTTTAAACAGGTCAGGTTGAAAAACATCTATATGAACCTTTAACCTGTATAAATATTATAAAATGAAAATTATATTATAAAATGAGGCTGACGATCTTGTAGAAGTGGAAGACTTAAGAAGAGGCATTGATATGTCTGAGGATAAGGATGAAGATGAATAATTTTTTAGGTAGACTTGATAGTATTCAAATATATTGTAACAGTAATGTTTTCTTTTGGAAAAAATTTAATTTTTTACACCTCCCTTAACCCCCTAAATTCTAAATATAGAAAAACACTTTCAAATATCAGCCAACAATCATAGATATAGTCAAAGAACATATCTATCTTTATCTTATTGAAATTTATTGAGGAAACCAAATTTGTAGCAATTAACCCCAAAATTTGTCTTTAGACCCCCCATATCTCGGGAAAGCCCCCTTAAACCGTTGATCAACACCCAAATTCGAAATCTACGCAAAAAACTGAACCAGAATAGATTGGTCTCATAAATTCTCCGTTCGGGTGGTGGTGCTCCCCTTCCACCCTCTGGTCTACTTGTTTTTCATTTGTGTTGATCGTGAATTGCCTTTTGTTCATAATGGCATTGCAAAGCCATTCAAGGAACTAAGTTATCTGGTAGCACAACACAAATTAGATTAAGGCATTTAAAGCATCAAGCAAGATCTAAAAACTGCAGGAGGTGAGTTTGCATCGCTGTGGCAATATGGCATGTCCATCGATTGACAAACTTTGCAGCTAAAACATGTTGCGACACTGATAGAAAGAAATGACCAATGGAGCACAATCAGCAATTAAACCAACTTCAAATTGAATTATAGATAAATGCAGAGAATTTAAATGCTAAAATTAAGCTACCTGTCGTAATTAAAATGTTTACTAGTTCAGGCTGTAAACATAAATAAACGGGATTTGATCTTCTTAATTTCTTCAATAAAATACTTGTTGTTGTCAAGATCACAGGTGTTAGTGTCTAGTGTCTAACTATATATTAATCCCTCCTAACAGTGATGTGCCTAGACAATTTTACTTGGGGGGGGGGGGGGGGTTGGGGAGGGCGTTCAAAAAAAGTGGCCAACTTTACTTTTTTGACCGACTTTTTCTCCATATTTTAACAATGAAAGAGATTATCATATATACATTCAATGATAACAAAGTAAGAGCAAATGATGGCATGAAAGTATAAGGAAATTAAGTTTGTGGAAACTAATATTCCTGGAGTTCGCGTTTTTGGGTGAATCCATGACCATCTTTTTGCGAAAAGCCAACTTTGAGGAAATCTGCAAAAATGAACTGCAGCTTCTTTTGAGCTCCTCATAACAATACTTTCAGCATATAAAATGTCCTCTAATCTATAAAATTTTATAAAAATTGAAGGGCAAATATAGCTGGAAGGCTGCCGAGAGGTTTAAGAGGCTCTGGTGCAAAATGGAAAGACGATGCCCCGAAGATTTTTGCAACCACACCCTTCAGATTAGCTTAAAATGCATCTCAAAAAACTCCTTGCAGTTTTTCTTGCAGTCGTTTCTTATAGTTGTTAGCTGGCTCCTTATAGCAAGTTATTTGCAACACACTCTTTTTTGTACGAACCAGTGAATTCGAGTTCAGGTTGACTGTTTTTCCAAAAATATGAGGGTGGATTGTTCTTAATTTGTTTTTAAATTAATAGGTTGTAAGCAGTGCGATTGCTAGCGTTTTCGCTCAAGGGAGGTGTTCAGGCCTTATTTTTTAACTTTTGACCAATTTGAGGCTCGTGTTCTTATAAAAAAAGAGTGTCTTACGAAAAGGAAAGTTGAATACGACCAATCATGACCAATAAAATGAATGACTTATAGGTTAAAATTTTATCAAACTTCCTATTTAATACTAAGTTTCCCGCTGCATGACCAATTTTCTTGAAGTCTTCAGACATTGGGGAGGGGGGGGGGGGGGGGCTTGGTGGCGTCGTCAGTCTTAACCAATAGTCAGTTGTCGTCAATTGATAACTGTAGATTGTTTTCAAATTGCATGGAATATTGTGTCGGCAGAGCAAGCGTGACTATCGAATATTCAGTGAGGGGCTTGGAACTAAATAGGGACCAAAGATTCCTATACTAGCGTCCTGGCCTCTCAAACAAGATGCGTTGTTGATATTGAAGAGTCAATCCTTGTTAAAGATCCTCAACTCAGATATTGCTCGAATATTAGAAAAAGCCTCAGTGGCGGATTTTGAGGGGAAGGGGGCAACTAGGGGCATTTGCCCCTCCCTCAACGAGTTGAAGCATGTCTAGCGCCCCTTTTTCTGGAAATTTTTAAAGAACGGGAAGCAGGTGTAAAAATTTCCGAGACTTTTAAGTTAATTTCCTTACAAAGTGAATACAGCGTACACTCATCATTAATTTCTGAAAAATTTTCAGCGCCCCCACTACCAACTGCCCCTCCTTCAAATTTTCTCTGGATCCGCCCCTGAAAAGCCTAACTTCATATTTTTAATGAGATGGTTTTTAAGTTCTTTGACTTTTTCCCTCTTCTAGATGCCTAAATATTTTATACAAAATAAAGTGATATAATGCACCAAATAATTCAATTATTTAAGATGAAATGAAATTCTGCAAGTTATTGAAAATTTGGAAAATTCAAAAAAAAGGAGTACTGAAACTTGGGCCAAATACTTGGGCCAAATAGTGTACTTTTCGAAAATGGAACAAAATTTTGCTAGTTTGTGAAAACCAGGATATAACAAAACAAAGCTTCTACAATACAAGATGCATGATACAAGATGCAGTACCATACAAGACGTAAGCGTCCTTTTGTATGCAAGGGCAAATTGTCTAAATTGAACTCCAAGTGCTATTTTTCGTACAGTAAGTGCAAAGTATCTATCATTGTCGTGTGGAGTTGTTCTCTCAGCTGATAGTCATAGAGCTCTTGATTGATGACGTCACAAAAGTCTATTTAAGAATTTTTAAATTTAGACCCCAGAACATAAAAGAGCATCGTGTAATACCGCATTTTAGTATATTTATCGTATAATACCTCTAAATATGTAAAATTAGTTAAATGTGTTGCGAATTGGCTGAGATTTTGCAACGTTTTATAGTGAGTCTGGTAACCAGGGTATGGCCACGTGAGCACAGATTCGTTCGATGAGCCCAGATCCTTCTGTAATTTGGTCTCTGTTCCCAACTTTAATCCATTATTTAGCTTCAAATCTTTCCTTGGCCATTTTCACCTGATTTTCAAAATATTTAACTTATTTTACACATTAAAAAATATTTCAACTGATCAAAATTAAAGAAAATACTAAAATATATTTTAAGATGTCACACTAAAGAACTCCATTTTCATTATATAACAAATATGTTTCTTTTTCTTTTTAGGAAGGCTATAAAACAACAGTTGGTGAACGTGGTATTAAATTGTCTGGTGGACAAAAGCAACGGATAGCAATAGCTAGAGCACTGATACTGAATCCAGATATTCTACTTCTAGATGAGGTATAAGTCAGAAATATCTTTATAATGCTAATTTTGAAGTTGTACCGACATTTACATTGGTGATATTTATATAATCTTATTTTATATGCGAAAAATTATACGGGCTTCAAGTTTTATCCCCATCAAATCGTTGATTAACGTTTGGAAATAGTGTCAGATATGCCAAAATTGATGAAAATTTTGTAGACTATTATTCAGGTTTTAGAATGTTTTCTTCTCCTGGTAGACAGCTGAAAACGTATGCGAATCTTTGTTTTATTTTCTCTCTTTAACTTTTAACCCCATAATTGCTCCAAATATGGGTCTTTACGGATATAAAAATCCGTGTATTTCAATTTCATACCTACATTAATAAATGTTATTATTATTTTTAGTTTTAGCTTTTGAGACCAAAGGGAGCATATTCATATAAACACCTATGCATGCTAAAACTGATAAAGATTATGTGTGATATTAATGTGATAGCAAAGGTCTGTTTTTATCAATATTGGCCTAAACAAAAGCAATGTTTCTTTGTGGGTTCGTATTCAGGCCCGCCGAAAGCTTTTCTGGGGGCTGGGGCAAAAAGAAAAATGAGGTCCACGCTGACGTCATTAGAACAATGATTTTCAATGGTGGTTGTTATTCAAAACTTTTTGGACCTAATCTCATCTCGTGGCCTGAGACAATCTACTTCCTGCCCCTGCACCCTGCCTTCCTCTCGATTGGTCGGTACATGTTTACGGAATAGTGAAACTCTCTAAAGAAGCAGGTAATTGCTATGTAAGAAGGTTCTTTGACATTGCCAATCCACTTATCATATTGAAGATTGAGTTAGGAATTCCTCGTGATGGTATCTTGAAAGTTTTATTTTATCATTAAGGCCACGAGTGCGTTGGATGCAGAAAGTGAGCACCTTGTTAAAGAAGCTATTGATCGCGCCATGATTGACAGAACTGTCTTGGTTATTGCGCATCGCCTGTCAACTGTGAGAAACGCATCGACGGTAATGTTGCCATTTTCTTTACAATTTCATTTTAATAAGTTTGTGCTCTTGCAATTTCATCCTTTTTTTCTTGTTCGACAATTTCCAAGGTGACCCACGGGTAAGATTGATTAAGCGAATTGTTAAGTAACAATTTACGAATAATTTTTTAGTTCTCAGATAGGTTCATTTATAAACAACAACTCAAAACCCAATCAATGTGAATTCTCTTTTAATCAATAGCTTAACTCGGTTCTTTAGGTTATCGTCATTGATCAAGGCTGTATAGTGGAGCAAGGAACCCACGATGAGCTGCTACAAAAGGAGGGGCAATACAAGAAGCTTATAGCACGGCAGTTAAATGCAGGGGAGATCGCCGACTTCGCTTTGCTGTCAGCTGGTCAGAATGACACCCCCAAGTCCAGCCCGACATTGCAGATTGAGAACCACGACCTTGAGAAATCTCCGTCTGATCATTAAGGGGCATGTGTCTTTGTTTGACTCTGCATTGCATTTACAGTTGTTTTATAGGTTTAACATTTCAATTATAGTTAGTTAAAGTGCACAAAAGACATTTAAATATTTCAGTTTTGGTGCTAGATGCATCTGACTTTCGTCATGATTGTATAGCGTAATATATATAACTGTTTCTTTTTAACCCATATGTATCAGGTAATGATGATTCAGATCGAAAAAGTAGTGTTGAAGCAAATAGTATATGGCATGTACTTGATTTACAGAATATACTAACAACTATCTACTTGTTTTTAATGTATCTTTTCGTCGACTGATGTACCGTTGTGTCTTTCGAAAATTTTCCAAAATAATATTTAAAAACAAGATGAGAGGAATCGGTGAAAAAGGATAGCCCTCATCCTCATTCACAATTTCTTTATTGAGCATGTTTTAAAACGAAATGATTCAGTATATAAGTTGAACATTTGAGCAATAACGAATATTTTTTCATGTGAAAAGTTTTGAATATAAATTTGTTCATTTTTCTAGTTTGTAATAGAGCTGAATATTAAGGATGATAGCCCTAAAATATTTTCTTTTAAAAATTGAGTAGAAGCGCTGCATGGTCGTCTTGTTCTTGATTTAGACTAAGTCAAAAATCTTCGTTGTTGTGGATATTGAGCCTCGTCTTCAATAGGAATACCTCCTCAATCAGTGAATGGAAAAAGAAGACCTCGTAGCCAACAATGTACACTTTATAATTTCGTGATGCCAACTATTGGGCATCCTTGCTTCACAATTTTCGTGTTTAATTGTGTCCTGGGGGGCCTAAAATGATACCAAAGCATTTACTAGTATAATGAGGAATAAAGATAGGGAGAAAAATTAAGAGTACGAAGGCCTACTTTCTGCTTTCTATATTTTCCAATCGGTTTCTAATGATATAAGCTTACAAAAATGACGATTTTTCGAAAAGTTTTTAAAGCCAAAATTCTCTTTTAAAGCCTTAGATACATTAAAGAGACGTGTAACGTTTTCAAAGACAAACTTGCTCTTAATGAATGAATAAACAGCATATAAAATATGTTTCTTTAGTCTTGGATACTTCAAAGTAATGTTATTCTTAATGTTTAAAATTTCAGCTCTTACACCGAAAAGTAAGGCTAGAGCCTTGCGTAAAATGTTCACCCTTTTGAAAAGACAAAACATGTCTTTGAAGTATAAAAAAGAACATTGAACTCATTTTTTATATCTTGTTATCATTCGATATGTTATAGACACCTTATTTTTCTGATTAAAAAATTTACACATCAAATATACTCATCAAAAATGGCTATAGGCCTACGTAAAATAATGATTTTTTTCGAAAGTTTTAAGGTCAGGCAGAACACTTTAAGTCGATACGTTCTAGTGGTTTTACTTTGCTTTGGAAAATTTTTGGGTATTTCAGCAAAAAGTAAGGCTATAAGCTTTCGTCAATTATTGTTTTTTTTCCAAAAATTTAATATGTAAATTTGCATTTGCAATGTACAAAAAGCATAATTTACTCATCCTTGCATGTTTCGTTAGCCTTTAATACGTTCTAGTGGTGTTACTTTGCTTTGGAAAAACTTTGGGTATTTCAACGAAAAGTAAGGCTATAGGCTTTCGACGAGTATTGATTTTTTTCCTAAAATTTAATGTGTAAATTTACATTCGCAATGTACAATAAGCAAAATTTACTGATTCTTGCATGTTTCTTTAGCCTTTAATACGTTCTAGTGGTGTTACTTTTCTTTGGAAAAATTTTGGGTATTTCAGCAAAAAGTAAGGCTATAAGCTTTCGTCAATTATCGATTTTTTTCCAAAAATTTAATGTTCAAATTTGCATTTGCAATGTACAAAAAGCATAATTTACTCATTTTTGCATGTTTCTTTATTCTTCAATACGTTCTAGTGTTGTTACTTTGCTTTGGAAAATTTTCTGGTATTTCAGAGAAAGTAAGGGTATAGGCTTTACAATTATTGATTTTTTTCCTAAAATTTAATGTGTAAATTTGCATTTGCAATGTACAAAAAGCAAAGGTTACTCATTCTTGCATGTTTCGTTAGCCTTCAATACGTTCTAGTGGTGTTACTTTGCTTTGTAAAATTTTCTTAACGAAAAGTAAGGCTATAGGCTTTCGTCAATTATTGATTTTTTTCCAAAAATTTGATGTGTAAATTTGAAATTACAATCTACAAAATGTAAAACTACTCATTCTTGCATAATTCTTTAGTCTGCAATACGTTCTAGTGGTTTTACTTTGCTTTGGAAAAATTTTGGGTATTTCAGCAAGAAGTAAGGCTATAGGCTTTCGTCAATTATTGATTTTTTTCCAAAAATTTAATGTGTAAATTTGAAATTACAGTCTACAAAATGTATAACTACTGATTCTTGCATGTTTCTTTAGTCTGCAATACGTTCTAGTGGTGTTACTTTGTTTTGGAAAATTTTTGGGTATTTCAGCGAAAAGTAAGGCTATAACCTTTCGTCAATTATTGATTTTTTTTCCAAAAATTTAATCTTCAAATTTGCATTTGCAATGTACAAATAGCATAATTTACTGATTCTTGCATGTTTCTTTAGCCTTCAATACGTTCTAGTGGTGTTACTTTTCTTTGTAAAATTTTCTTAACGAAAAGTAAGGCTATAGGCTTTCGTCAATTATTGATTTTTTTCCAAAAATTTAATGTGTAAATTTGAAATTACAGTCTACAAAATGTATAACTACTGATTCTTGCATGTTTCTTTAGTCTGCAATACGTTCTAGTGGTGTTACTTTGTTTTGGAAAATTTTTGGGTATTTCAGCGAAAAGTAAGGCTATAACCTTTCGTCAATTATTGATTTTTTTTCCAAAAATTTAATCTTCAAATTTGCATTTGCAATGTACAAATAGCATAATTTACTGATTCTTGCATGTTTCTTTAGCCTTCAATACGTTCTAGTGGTGTTACTTTGCTTCGGAAAAATTTTGGGTATTTTAGCAAAAAGTAAGGCTATAAGCTTTCGTCAATTATTGATTTTTTTTCCAAAAATTTAATGTTCAATTTGCATTTGCAATGTACAAATAGCATAATTCACTCATTCTTATATGTTTCTTTGGTCTTCAATACGTTCTAGTGGTGTTACTTTTCTTTGGAAAAAATTTTTGTATTTCAGCAAAAAGTAAGGCTATAAGCTTTCGTCACTTATCGATTTTTTTCCAAAAATTTAATGTTCAAATTTGCATTTGCAATGTACAAAAAGCATAATTTACTCATTCTTGCATGTCTCTTTAGCCTTTAATACGTTCTAGTGGTGTTACTTTGCTTTGGAAAAATTTCGGGTATTTCAGCGAAAAGTAAGGCTATTGTTGCGACATAGACGCTCGTCGAATCATGCGCCCTATTAAACTCGTTATTCTGGTTTGCCCAGTTTCAAGTAACTCGTTATAATAACTTGTTTATATCCTGTTTGTTGACTTTATTGCTATTACCTAGTTCTATCCATATTTGGTTATCGTAAACTTGTGTACGCTGGTACCACCCCTTTCGCGCTGTTAACTTTATCTTTTTGGTAGTAATTTTTATGTTTGTATTCTTGTCACGCCGTTTTTTAGTTAGGATGTTTTCCAAGTTGTCAGTCGATGCATAGTATTGATATTTACCGTCAAGTACTCGCCTCGGTGATTCAATGGTTAGAAGACCAGCATTTCTTTGGAAGTAATTAAAGCGATATCAAGACTCTGTTTTACGTAGTGATTAACTCGAACTCTGGTTTTCTTTGCTTTGATTATTTTTACAAACTTCTGCTTGGCGTATTTATTCAACGTGTACAATTCAATGACAAGAGCTGGCTTTCACGTAATTTTACTGAACGCCAATATCGCCATATCACTTTTTGCTGTTGTTTGTTTTATTCGTATGGTTAGCCAGTTCAATTGCATATTTGATTTCAATTGCTGATAGAATTAATTTGATGCTCGGTATATTAACTTTGTTGTTAGCGTAAACGAACTTTAACAAAAATGGAAGAGGTAGTTAGTGAGATACAGATTCAATTAACTGCCGTTCAGGCTGCTTTAGAGGGCAATACTCAGTCAGGTCTTTTCCAGCTTCGCTCATTTAATGGTTTACCAAACGAAGATATTAACGAATGGCTCTCTCGTTTCGAAACACTCGCAAAATTTCATAATTGGTCACAAGCTAAAAGATTAAATGCCTTGCCACTCTCTTTAGGGGAACCCGCAAAAGCTTGGTACGATACCATGCCCCCCGAAACTGTTGGTGATTTCAGAACTCTTACCCAGGGACTAAAAGAACGCTTTGGTTCAAAGTCGCTAGAGTTTCTTTTTCGTCAAGAACTGTTTCAAGAAAACAAGGTCCTAGCGAGCCATTGTCTTTATACACGGAAGACGTTATTAGGAAAAGTTAGCGGCTCGGACTGTCAGACAAAGATTTGATGAATGCCTTTATTAATGGTTTGTGTGAAAAAATCATGTGATCTTGAGCCAGCCAAAATCATTTGCTGAGGCGGAAAACCTTGCCCGATTGAGACAAGCAGTCTCTAAAACGTCAAGTTACCCGTTTTCAGGAACACAATCGGTTCTGCAGGAACAAAGGCTAAAAGAGTTAGAAAACAATGTAAATCTTTTGGTTTCTCTTGCCGCCCAGAAAAAAGGTCAAATTCAGGCTCCTAGGCCAAATTTTGGTAGTATTTCCTCGGGCTTTCATCCAAACCCTCCGTCTAATACTGGTTCAAGTGCATTAAATATGAAGGTAGAAATCATTGCTGCCATCAACACGGGTTTTCAAAACATCCAGCACCCTCTAAAAGGGAAAAACCAACATTTCCAAAAGGGGGGAGCTCGAGCAGCCAAGTTGGGTTCCTGCTAACCAGTCAAATGCCATCTACGCTCCTCCGCAACGCAGACAGCAATACACCAATTCGACTTACGGCCTCATTTTGAAAAATTCTTCGAATTCTTTTGTACAAAATTTTTGACCTCAGATTCGGATTGACAGCAATGATTTTAGTCTACTTGTAAGTTTTCATTATGATATTGCTCACGATATTGATATTATGACGACATAAAGATGAAAATTTTCTAAGGGATTTGACCGTGATTGGCAACTAGGGGGGTAAAGTTTCCCCCCTAAACGATTTTTGCGGTCAAATCCCTTACAGGTTTTCAAACTTCATTTCTCCGTAAAATGTAAAATACAAGTTAAAACAATATGAAAAATGGTATCCCGCCTAAAATTATGACGATAAAACCAAATCTGAGCTTAAAAAAGTCGTATAATCAAGTTTGGAGAAATTTCCAAAACGAGGTCGTAAGTCGAATTGGTGTATTTGGGTATCACAACAGGGCGTCCTATCAAGGGGATCAAAATTTAAACGGACAAAGGCCTTCACAGTGGGGGAACTGAAGGCCGGAGTCGTGTACGCATACCCTTATGACCCCGGACCACAAACTAAGTCTGGAATACAAAGTTTCTCTTCAAAAACTATTGATTCCAATGATTCTGTGCAGCCAAAAATGACACATTATTTGCCAAAACATGAAAGTCGTAAGGACAGTTTCGCAGAAAATCACACTCTAGAGTCCAAAACGGTAGAGAACATCGTTCCAGCTATTGCTACAGATGAAAAACTTTTTATTTCAAGCCCAGAAAATGTTCTGATATGGGGAATTGTTTTGAAGCAGCCATTTAAATTGCTGGTGGACACGGGTGCTGCCGTTACAGTCATCAGTGAAGATTTTTATAGAACAGTTTTGAGCCCATATTTTGCTATTAAACAAAATAACAGTTTGGAAAGTGTAAAAACTGCAAACGGCTGTAGTGTTCCCGTAAAAGAGTTAGTGTCGTTTCCTATAATGATTGGCCAGTCAGAATATTCGTGCGCTGCCTCAATTGTTTCCGGTTTATCGTATAATATTGTTCTTGGACGCGACTTTTTACATCAATTTAGCGCAGTTATTGATGTGCGTGGACATTCGGTCATTTTTTCTGGCGATAATAAAGTTTTTTTTGCTGAAGGAAATACACAACCTTTTCAGACTGATATTCGAGCTGCTCATACGTTTGTCATAGATGCTCACAGTGAAGCTGTTATTCCTGCCTATTTTCACCGGCGCCCATCTTCTCCTGTTGTTGGTCTTTTAGAGCCAGTTCGCTTATTTGCCGCTGCTTCGGTTGTTAATTCCAACGATGACAGAAAGGTTTCGTGTCGCCTTTTGAATCCCGCCATGGAACCAGTGCTGCTGCACAAGGGTACCACCATTGGCCATTTTGCTGAAAGCTGTCCTGAAGATGTCACTTGTTCTCTGGAATCTGAAAACAAGGAATCTGAGAACTCTTTTCCTTCAGCCTTCGTAGATACGAAAGACTTTCTTTCTCGTTTCGACTCTTTTCCAAATCCACACCTTTCTGCTGCTGAAAACGAACAATTAGCTAATCTTTTGCTACGTTACTCGGACATCTTTGCTTCCTCTACTCTTGATCTTGGTCGTACATTCCTTGTAGAACATACCATCGATACCGGGGATGCCAGGCCCATCAAACAGGCTCCCTATCGTGCCTCGCAGTCTCAGCGTAAGGAGATTGAGAAACATATCTCTGACATGCTTGCTTAGGAAATAATTACAGTTTCTTCCAGCCCATTAAGTTCTCCCGCGGTGCTTGTTGAGAAAAAGAATGGAACAACAAGATTCTGCATTGACTATCGCAAACTGAATGCGGTCACTCGAAAGGACAGCTATCCTTTACCACGTATTGATGATGCTCTTGACTCACTTGCAGGCTCACGATACTTTACAACACTTGATCTTCAGTCAGGATACCACCAGGTAGCTATGCACCCAGACTCAAAAGATAAAACAGCCTTTGCCACTCATGCCGGGGTCTACTCCTATGAAGTTATGAGCTTTGGGTTATGTAATGCTCCTCCATGCTTTCAGCGATTGATGTCTCGGGTGCTGCATGGCCTCGAGTGAAAACTGTGCCTCGTTTACATCGATGACGTAATTGTTTTTGCCGCTACTTTCGAAGAACATCTTGCTCGTTTGCAATTGATGCTTGATAGACTTCGTATGGCTAATCTGAAATTAAAGCCGTCTAAATGCCATTTTGCCAAGACTTTGGTCAATTTCTTGGGTTTAGTCGTTTCTGCGGAGGGAGTGACTCCTGATTAGGCCTGTCCACCGAAGGTCGAATAATCGGTATTCAGTTACCTGTTTCACTATTCGGTTAGCTGAAGCCCAAAGCGAATATTCGGTTACAAGCGAATAGTTCGAATAGTACGATTATTCGGTTACAAACGAATAGTTCGAATAGACGATTATTCGGTTGGAGACGAATAGTGCGAATAACCTCACTGTTGGAAGTCCACAATGACCGTGACTGATCGAATAACTGTGACTGATAACCGAATAGCACTGACTGGTCGAAGGCAAGGATTGTTGTAAAGGAGAAAGGCAACTTCCTATCTTCAATCTTAGAGAGAGTTTCATGGATACGGGCCTTCTTTAAAAATCACAAACCCAAGAATAGTTACATATGTAACCCAAGAATATTTTTGTGCTACAGGGCCTCCGACGAAAGGGGAATTTTTGTGCTACAGGGCCTCCGACTATTTTGCAGAATAATAAAACTTTTCACAAAATCTTTTGTTGTGAGTGCTGAATTTTCTTTTGCCCCCCCCCCCCTCCACTTTCCAACCTGTGTTGAAGCCCGTGCTAGAAAGCTTTTCACTTTTAAAAATGTTGGAAAACGACCCTTTTTGAAAACGTACGACTATGGTTTCTCGTTAATTTGATACTGACTTTCTGGCCATTAGGGGCAACTAATGCTAGGGAAGGTTCGAGAAAACATTTATTTTTGACAAAAAATCGTTTTAAAAATTGCTTTGCAGCACACCCTTTGAAGTTACGTAAAACACAGGAAATATAAATAGGAAAACAAAAAATTAATGGTTCTGACTTTTCAAATAGTAATGACTGATTAGCTATATTCACAGGTTGGTTAAATTACAAGAAATTTTCAGATTGCAGATTTTTACCACCACCCTGCCACACCCATTTTACCATACCCATATTCGCCGAATAACCGAATATTCGTTAAATGTTAAGCCGAATAACCGAATAGGAATATCCGAAGGTTTGGACAGCCCTACTCCTGATCCAGCCAAGATTGATGCGGTCAAGTCAAATCCGACTCCCACATGTGTGAAGGACATACGTAGTTTTCTTGGTTTGGCAAACTATTATCGACGTTTCGATCAGGGTTTTGCTAAAATTGCCTCGCCTTTAAATATGCTGACACGCAAAGGAATCCCATTTGTTTGGTCGTCAGCTTGTAAGAATGCTTTTCACCTGCTCAAGCAACGTTTGTGTTCTGCACCTATCCTTGCCTATCCAAACTTTACTAAATCGTTCCATTTGAATACTGACGCTAGCCAAACTGCATTAGGCTGTATTTTGGGACAAGTTATCGAAGGCAGGGAAGTTGTTCTTGCATATGGTGGTAGAGGGCTTAATCCAGCAGAAGTGAACTGCAGTACAACTGAAAGGGAAGCCTTGGCCGTTGTTGAACATTATCAAACTTACCTTGCTGGTGGAAAATTTTTCATCCATACTGACCATAGAAGTCTTTCTTGGCTCATGCGTATTAAAGATCCTACAGATAGACTAGCACGATGGTCTTTGCAACTGCAACAATATGACTTTGAAATAATTCATCGTGCAGGCAGTTCCAATGGTAACGCAGATGCATTATCTCGACGGTCATATTCTGATCAGCCTGCTTCCTCTTCTAAACCTCACTTCAGTCCTCCAGTTGTGGCTGTTGACCTTCCTTGCACTGAAGCCTCTTCACTCTCAAGACAAGATCCAGATCTCTCCTCAATCATCCGGTATCTGGAAACTAGTGTGCTGCCAATAGAAGATAACCAAGCTCGTTCCTTGCTCCTCTAAATCGACTCTTACTATTTGGACAGCAATGGGATACTATGCCATCTGTGGTCACCAGGAAAACGTAATATTCACTCGTTGTGTTCTCAAGTTGTCATTCCCGCTTGCCTGAAACATGAAACTCTCTCTGCATGTCATGATGCACCAACAGGCAGCCATTTTGGAACACAAAAAACCAATGAAGTCGTACGTCGTCGATACTATTGGCACGGGATGTTTAAAGGTGTGGAGCATTGGTGTCGAACAGGTGTAGACTGCGCCATGAAAAAGATTCCGAGGGGTCAGCGTAAAGCCCCTTTGTTGCCAATACCAGTCGAAGGAGCTTTTGATAAAGTCGCTATGGAAATACTTGGCCCTTTCCCTGTCACTCACGATGGAAATCGATATATTATGGTCTTTTCCGATTACTACACTCGTTGGCCTGAGGCTTTTGCGCTACCGTCTATTGAAGCTGCTCGAATAGCTCAACTCCTTATCGATGAGATCCTTGCTTGTCATGGCTCACCTCGTACTCTTTTGTCCGACAGAGGCTCTAATTTTCTTGCCGCCATCGTGAAAGAGGTTTGTACGCTGATAAATACACATCGTCAGCATACGACTGCCTATCATCCGCAAACTGATGGCCTGGTTGAGCGGTTTAATGCCACCTTAACGGAAAGCTTATCAATGTACGTTAGCAGCAACCAGAAGGACTGGGACAGACACATCTCAATGGTCCTTTTTGCTTATCGTGTTTCACCAAATGCTACTACTGGCGAATCACCATTTTCTTTATTGTACGGCCGTGAACCACGCCTTCCGATCGATGTTTCATGGCTCTTGCCTTCCTCGAATCTCTCTGCCTCAGTTGCTGAACATCGGGCTCGCGTTGTCCAAAATCTTGAAGAAGCCAGACGGATTATTTCCAGCAATACGCAGCTTGCTCAACAACGCATGAAAGCACAGTACGATAAAACCAGTGCACCCGTTCACTATGACGTAGGCTCGAAAGTTTGAGTATTTACGCCGAAATCCAAAAGAGGCTTGTCGAAAAAGCTCTGCCACAACTATCATGGTCCCCACAACTATCGAGCTTTGATCAGTCACGTGATGTCAACTAACCCGAATGCCCTTATTGGATATCTTATTAAAAATGGGCAAAATCAAATCATCTTTTTACATCAGAAATATAGCTTAGCATGCAATTGACTGTTAAAACTTATGTATTACCAGGGCCGTCGCGATGCAAGCCTCGTTGGGGGGGGTTTGGGGGGTGGACTACAAATTTACCGGATTAGAAAATTATTGCCAATACATTTTGTCAATCTAACTCGATAGGAAATTTTCAAATTTTGATGCTTCTAGTTCCCTGGAAAATGTACTCTTTCAAGCAAATTTCACTAAAGCAACCCTCCTAATCCTATTGAAAATTATTATTTTTTGCAAAAATTCTTTACAGCAGATAAAAAAACAATTTCGCCGTGGTCTTGATAATACCAGGTTGTCAGTTACTTCTAATGCTAGGTAAGAAGCAGCAATGGTTGTCAATTTAGATCCCTCTTTCCATCTTAGAATGCCTCTTGAATGTTAAAATAATCTGGAGCTCATATCCATCTCCTGATTTAATCCCCATTTTACCCCAAAAACAGCGCCAAATCCCCATTTACCATCACAATTCATTATCCCCAGTTGATAGAGAATTCGAAAACGGAAATCGAAATTTCCCCGCCCCAAAGTGGTACTCCCCGCTATTTCCGTCTGGTCTATTATACCTATCAAATGCTTTTAAGGAAACTTGAAAAAGCGGGAAAAGCGTTATCTGTCTGGATCAATAGCGTTGATCTTATCAATTTCGTGATCACGGTAACAAAAATTGTAGACGCTTTTAAAAAATCCCCTTGAAACATTTCCAGTAACTTTTCACGAGGCATCACTATTAAAATAAGTTTTCAACTTTCTCAACCCCGAACTGAGAGATTCTGTCCCAATCGGAATCGGATGAATTTCCATCTCGATTCATCTCATTATTTTCCATAAGCTAAAAAATATAGCAATAACAAACAACAACACAAGGAAATCGAATTACACTATCAAATCTCCCATATTATTGCATCAAATAGATTTCGGCATGCGGGTATTCAGCATGGAGAAATGGCACTTTTATAATTTTTGTTACCCCATGCTTTCCATATTTTTGAAGTAGAAAGAATTCATTGAAGCTTCCGGATAGAATCTCTTATTTCCTTTTCAGAACGTGGGATTTGTTTTTATAATGGCAGGAATGTTAACAATGCTAGGATGGTCAATGAATCATTAATCAGGCATTGATTCCTTGAATCGTCATAAAGAAATTGATAAGAACGATTTTATGCTTGGATACAGACAAAACCATCTGCATATCAATAAAGAGCAACAGACCGTTCACTGACTCGGTTCCCTGTTAATTTTAATGCTCTAAACCATTGAATCACTTTTGTAATTTTTGTTTACTTATGAATGTGTAATACCCGTTGTTGCATTTCATGAAGCAGCTGGCGAGTACTGTATACATACATATACAATCTCAGGCAGACAAATCCTTGCCGCGACCGAAGTCAACCATATTATCGAAGGTAAGGTTCCTCATTGTACCAATATATGAACGTTTGCCTGTGTTTTCTTTATCTTCTAGCTTCTCGTAAATAGAGAAGTGTTCCTGTTTATAAAAGAGATTCTTATGTTTCTAATGACCCTAGAGACACGCAAGCCACATTAAATCGAAGCTACACCTTCTTTACTGCAGCTACACCCTCGGTTTCACCTTTCAGCGATGAATACGTTGTTAAATGTAGAATATTCTTTAGCTTAAATCACAAACAGAATAAGAAAAATTCGTTTTCAGCTTAGGTTTTTAGTTTGAATCAAGGTTTGAAAAAACAATCAAAACAAGCTATTCTTGATTTTTCATTACAGACAACGTTCTAAAAGGCCGTTAATTAAGTTCTTTAGCAAGCCCTACGAGTCTTCCGCTCTTAGTTGAGAATTGAAAAGGAGAGGCAAAGTCTGAGTAATGTATTGAAATTACGGCAGAAACCTTAATTTTATTATGCTTTATGATATTATTCTAAAGGTGTTGGATCTTTGTGCGTTTTGAAGGATTTACGTATTTTTTATATGTAAAATGTTATTACAAACAATTTCTGAATTTCTACCTAAGTGAATTTGTATCAAACTATTTTTATATGTAAGCATAGTCTAAAGAGCCCTTTAGAGTCCACACCAGTATTTGGAGCAAACAAATAGAAGTATTTTAGGCATGTAGTGTGAACCCACAAAGATTTGAATCCTTGGCTTAAGTCGGAAGATCAAAACACAGCCCCCATTCCAGATACCCTTATTCATAAAACTACCGTGAGTTCAAATCTAGACAGGTATTTTAAACCATTGATTTCTCTTGTTAACATATTGAATTATGTTTTCTGTAAACCACCTGCACACATGATAGGCTTCGGGCAGATTGTAACGGAAACGCCTATCTAAGAATGTAATTCATGGTAACAACAATTTAGGGATATAGTCAACTACGGGGATTCGCACTGGAAATTTTTGCGGGCAATTATTCGGGGAGTTGCCAACTTCATATTAGATTAAAGAGGCCATGTTTCGCAGCCCTAAATTCAAGCTCGATGTATAGAACTTGGCCCCTCCACCTTGGAATTCGTGACGTGGGCCCTGTCCCAGTCTTGTTTACTGCACTGCCATAGACTCGTAAAAGGAGTTTTCGATACATGGAAAGTAAAGCGATATTTGCCTTTAGTTTTAGCAACAAGCTTCCCAATTATGTTTTTCGTTGAGCAAACCCTAGGCCAACGCTAACTGATAGACACAGGCAGGCACCGCGCAGCCATTGGTCTGGCAGGGGCTATAGCATTTTTTGAAGGTTTACTCTAACGCAACTTTGGATAGTTTACTCCTATGTAGTAGCAGTTTATCTTGACTGGGAACCATTTTTGTTCTTTTTCTAGATGTTTCATCCTGTTTAATGATATGATGTATTTTCGAACTTTGTTAGCTTGGTTTTTTATTACCCTTGAGCTAATTCTATCTATTTTTATAGTTATTGACATCTTCTCTGAATCAGACTGTTTATAAAAATTCAATAGAAATAAGCAAGTATTTTCTAAAAGGGGCGTTTTCCGACATTCAAGAGTGTGTGGCCTCAAAAAATGTTCGGTCACACCCATTTCACTTTTAGAGTGTTGCGCGGTCCCTGGACACAGGCTAGGTGAAGGGCTTTTAATTAGAGGAGGGTTGTGGTTGTTTCACAATCCAACGGGGGCTTAAATGTCTTCCACACCCTAGGCCTGCAAACATGATTTGGATTTTCAGGTGGCTTCAGGAAGCTAAGTGGAAGCTATAGATTCCTAGGCCTACACTAGCATCCCCACTGGGGGAGGCAAGGGGGCACAATAAAAAAACCTTCTCCTTCAATACGAATATGGCTACAATGTGAAAAGATGTATTGCTCTGTAAGAAAGGCATTTCCCAGGGTGTGCTACAGTCTGAGCAACCTTATCCTAATTTTTTTCGATTATCCCCCCGGGTTGTACTTGAGCCCCAAATATTTGAATCTGCCTGTACCCTAGTACTTCACGTATGCCCATTTAAGCTTCCTTACGTTTAAATCTCCATCATAAGCTTTTTGTCTCGCAGTCTTGTGTTAAAGGCTACTACGTAGAATGAACAATTGGGTTCCCGCCGGGGTTAAAGATGCCCCATCTTATCACCCAACGATTAACACACGAATTAGTTCAAAAGAAAATTGTACTGCAATCATGTCCAAAGCCAATTCAACTTAGGTAACAAGTCCGGTGGCGGAAATGCAATTGTTTGATTCGGAGAGAGGACATGAAGCCTTCGGACCGTGATTGGTCAAAAGAATGAAAGAGAAATAACTGTCTATAGTTTTTAGAGATAAAGACGAAAATTTTGCCATTATTGACTATGATTTAAGATTTACAAAGTTACTAATTTTTATTCCGCTAATTTCTATAAAAACCTTCTTTTGTGTCTGCTCGGCCGAGAACAATATTTCTTTATTGTGTTGAAATTAAAACCTGCATTTATTTCGTAAGCAATACGAAAGCTACTCTTAGGGAAGAACCTTTCGCGGGAAAAAACTTCGAGTTTTTCGCGCTTTGGCCTAAAATTGCGAAAGGTTGATCCGCTAAGCTTTAGAAATACGAAATTAGCAAAAGTTTATTATCGCAGAATAATCAGGGAACATTTCCATTGATAATGACCCTCTTGGAAAATTTTGTGACCAATGAGTTTTTTAAAGAATTTTTATATTGTTTTGGTTGTTTTGCTGCAATTAAATGGAATACAGAATTCATTCCGGTATATTTTACCTTTTTTTAATCGCACGCAAGAACAAGGCAGCGGAAACTATTACTTTTCGAGCAATTGATCGCATTCAATGAAATATGCCATTACGACTATGCGCCAATATTGTAGTTTAAGAATACAGCTCCAAAAAGGGGGCGTCGACGACATAATTACTTTTTCGTGTTTCATTTGTGCGTTTCAATATAATGAATCTATTACTCGGACAATTTCTTTCATCCCAAATATTCTCAAAACGAGAAAAAGAATGCATAAAAAAAGTGAATGAAATATCAGTTGAGTTCCTTGTGATAATAAGTACCAATATGTATTTAGTTGCATCTTTGCTATTTCTTATGCGTACGCTGCTTTACAAAATATTCTAAAAACTGCTGGGGTATAATTTGAATACTCTAGCCTCCTCGCAGAATATTCATTGCCATCTGACAAATTATTTCCTATCCCCATGACAAAATATTTATACGCTGTAATAGAATATTTCGTACCCCCATGACAAGAATATTTTTAGGCTGTGACAGAATATTTTTTATGTTCTTGCAGAATATATTATACTCTCCAGCAGATGTTTTATACAATCTGACTGAATATTGACACCCTTTGACAAAATATTCTATACCCTCTGAGATCTTATTTTACCCCCCCCCAGGACAGGATAGTTATATATACTCTGATTAAACATTTCATACCCAATACTAAGAAAATTTATAAGCTCTGACATAGTATTTTTTGTGTTCTTGACGAAAATATTATATTCTTTAGCAGACTATTTAATTAGTTTTAATATATTACGTTGTAAACTCGAACAGAATGTTTTATACACTCAAGCAGAAAATTTCATATGCACTGACAAAATATTTACACCCTCTGATAAAACATTCTATACCCTCCGATAAAACATTCTATACCCTCTGATATAGCATTTCATATTCCCTCATCAGTCTCTATACACTCCGGTGAAATATTTTATACGCTCTGACATCCAGGGACGCCGGAACAACCTAAGGGCAAGTGGACTGGCTTCAGTAAAAGGGCATTTGAAAACAAATTCTCAGCTTATACTAATTCTTTTATAACTGTCATTTTATTTCGATGTTCTGTAGGAATCTTGTAAATGAGAACTGCTGTCACCAGAAATTCTTGTATAAGTTTTAAGAAATTTTATTATGAAAGATACACAACAGTCAGGATTCGAGAACAAGGGAACTTTTATGAAAAGGACCCTTTGACCCCCTTGTCCCTCATATCAGAGCCCCCCTGCACCCCCTCTCCGGCGTTCTAGCCTATGCTCCAGACCCCTCTACTTTCAAGTAAGGGGTTTGGGACACAGGCTACGGCATCCTTGTTGACATAAATTTCATGTCATCTGACAAAATATTCTATACGCCTTGACAAAACATCTCATATGCTCTAAAAGAATAAATTTTAATCTTTGACTTTAATTTCTTGATCATTAATGCTTTAAAACTTATGACAAACTGTTTTATACTCTCAGATTTTTAGATTCGTCGCAAAACTTCCTGCTGCATTACAATGAAATCTACGCTGTACAGATGTTTAGCCATGATGCTCTTAATTGAATTTAACGAAGGTGCGATTTCTAAAGTCGATTAGTTTAAGCTTGTTTGAGATTAATTATATATTCTCTTACTCGCTGAGGGAAAGCGATCGATTTCAGCTTTATTAAATTCATTAATAGCTTCCACTGATTAATGGAAGGATTTGGGTACTCACTTTTAAAGGATCATAATCTAAAATGTAACTTTTCTATGCACGCAATAAAAGGTTGATACCCAAAGAGGACCACTGGTATCAAGATGCTACTAATAGTTATTTTAGAAGCACAGAAATCTTTGACAACTAAGTGATAACAGAAAAGGTATGAGGTGAGATTTAAACTAAGCAAGAAAAGAAGATGATCAAAAGTAGAGATAAGGCTGGAGTCTTGAAATTTATCCAAGCTTGTAGTTTTGATGACGATGGATGAAAATAGCATTGCATAGTGGAAATAGCAATAATACTTATATTTTGCTTGTTTTTCCTCGACTTTCTGATCTGTTCCTCTTTGCTTTTGGGTCCCATGCAAGAAAGGGGGAAAAAGTACAAATGTATGGTTTTGATGTAATAAAAAAAGGTCAACTTAACACATAAGTATCGTTTGAAAATAAGCACAGTGTCGTTTGTAAAAGCTTGCAAAGCGGTGTATGATGAAAGCTTGAAAAAACATAAGATATTTTGTTTATCAAAGAGGTTATGATAGGCAACAATTAATAGGGAAGTCTTTGCAACATCAACAGTTTTTTCAGCATTTCTGATCTGATTGACGAGAACAAATACCTGTCATTTGTCTGATCAAAAGTTTCAAGAGCATTCGTTAACAGTCAAAGCTATGAAAATCAGATTGATCTTTTAGGGCTTTAACAGTAACTGCAGGTAAAAGATGGGTGAAAAATATTGATTTTAGCAAAAATGCAAGTATTTTTTTGTGCATTTGACATCAGCTTAGATGCCCAGTAATAATTTTTTTATTCTGGTTTCTTCTCAGTCAGTACCGTGCATGCCAGCCAAGAAATACCTTGTCAATTGGTCAACGATATAGAAGAGACAGATCCGGTAGAAAGAGCCTTAACGCCTGCATTTTATCGCATCAAAAAATGTAAAGGTGGTAGTCGGCTGCGCAGTGGTTATCAGTGCCAAGCGTCCTCAACAGAGACAAAGGAGATAGAGGTTTTTAATAGGCTAACATTGTCAAAAATCAAGAAGAAATTTGAATCAGCTACAGAATGTAAGGAAGTCTGTGTCTGTGGCAGAAAATGCAATGCACCGGAAAAGGCCCAATGTGATAGAGGATTCAGGTATCAGCACGTCATATGGATCATAAAAATCTTCCTTATATTTTGATCTAGTAATCTTTTGTTTTGCTTTCTTAATACAAATAATGTCTCCGATTTTCACGGGAAAGAAAAAAATCTCAAAGTATTCGAACCCTAAAAATCGCACATGCGAAGGGAATTAGCACCTCCTTCGAATAAGCGCCCCTACCCTATAATGAGAACCCTTTCCTGATTTATAAAGTGGGAGGCGATAACAAAGGTTATGATGATGATGATGATGACGATGATGATGACAATGATGATGACATGATGATGATTCCCAGGCACCCAAAAGAAGATTAACAGTTTAAGCATTTTGCATTACATTATAGCCTTATATGCTGACACAGCAGCTGTTATAGGTTTTTTAGCATATCTATTTTTGAAAGTATACGAGTTTATAACATTTTCAACAGTCACATCTTTTCTTTTGTAATGGGTAGAATTACCTTCAAATCTTTTTTGAATTGACTTAACATTTTACGTATATCATAAATAAAATCCACGGACCGTTGCTTTAAGGTGGGATGCAGAGGAGTGCCGATGTGTATGCGACAAAAGCAATTCCATTCCATACCGAGGAAATAGTAGGTATTTTTTCTCAAATTTGCTGTCTTGTTCTAATCGCTAACGTCATAAACTCTATTGACAAGACCGAAACTAACCTGGATTCGCCTAATATTAAAATAACCCAACGGCTCGACCTGGACAGAATCTGCCTCAAAATATGGGTCATTTGAACTTAGAGCCAGCCCGAGTTAGTTTCTGTCGTGTGAATGGGGTAAACATATTTGTTATAAGCAAGCTGTATCAACATTTTGAACTTCGTTTTGTTTTGGGCTGTTTCCAATTCTCAGGGAATAGAATTCTACAAAAACTTTTTAAAACTAAGCAACTGGTTGTTTTGACAAAGAATCTTAACATTAGTAACCCTGTTTTGATTGGCTAAGCTCTTTGATTGTGCAATGGCCGCTGTCCTGGAGGCCGGTCCATCACAACATGAATTATAAAATGAAAATCAGTACCCTCGTTTTGATTGACTAAGCTGTTTTGATTGTGCAATGGTCGCTGTCCTAGAAGCCGGTTTATCACAACATTAATTATAAATTGAAAATATGGAAGCCTTTGTTGTTAAGCTCATATGTTAACTTAATAATTTTACAAATTCGTGTTAAACAGCGTTTATGATACAAAATATTGAATTTTTTTAGGGAAAACTGAAACGTTGTCCATCAAATACTTAGTAATATCAATTTTGGCAATCTCAGCCCTGTTTGCAGCTGTTATTTCAATTCTTGCATGCATTTGCAAAGAGAAAAAACACAAATACAAGCATCTAGCCGTCGGTAAGTATTACTTGATATTCCGTCTACCCAATTATATTTACGTAGAAGCACTTTAAATGCAAAAGGGCAACCATTTATTTGCATCCACACGACAGCGATGAATTTTTTACTGAAAACGCAATAATCTTGAATATTTGAAAACTCGCCGTTTTCATATAGATGGATTGGTTTTAGAGCCTTTTTGTGTACGAAGAATGAATGCACTATGTGATGGGCCCTGAGAACACATACCTATATACAGTGGCTCGGCCCACCCCCCTCAATCGTCGGGAAATTGACAGCCGTTTAGCATGTCGAAATTACTCCAAGAAGTCGTTCTGAAAAGGAACTTAAAGCTTATATAAGGGGCGTTATCTGCATTTTCCCTTCCTACCCCAGGGATCTCTAAAACACCTCTGTGCCCCTTTTTCAAAATTTGAACATGGCATAGCTGATAAAATATTAGCCAGTACTAAATAATCAAACAAACAATATATGACAAAAACAAAATACGGTTTCTGAATTGTCTATTTAATTTCAATTCTGTAAAGATTAGCCGAAACTTTCATCGGATTCTTCCAAATTGAAGTTGTTTTCAGACGTGTTTCCCTCTGTACAAAGCAAGATAAAATGCAGAAAATGAACAATTACAACCATGTTGTTATCATGAATGACTTGCCAAAAGTGTAATCGCTCGACATCTTGAATCATCAATTGTCTTAGATAAAATATCGATCTTGATATAAAAATTATGAATGGGTTGTTCTTCTTGCTACTTGATTATAGCGTGTTCAGAAACCGTATATTTATTACTTGATTATAGCATATTTTTGGCCTCGCCCAAAAATCAACTATTTTCATCAAAATGTGCAGTTTCCTTGGACAATTTTTCGTCTGAAAATTTAAAAAAGATTATCTACCCGTCAAAATCTCAATTTTACCGACTGAAATCGCAATTTTGCCGACTAGAACACAAAGGTCTATTCTTGAGGGGGGTTTAACACCCTTATAACCCCCATGTGACCGCCCTGTGTATGCATGCAGTAGGGGGGAATCCTCTCAAAGCAGACCTTGGCCTCTCACAGGCTTAAAGGCTCTTGCGCAACCGCCATGCTTTGCTGCTATAATTCAAAGAGCCTAATATTTTACAGCATGAAAATACAGTCAATTTCTCAAGATAACTGCCGCTAAGCATGCCGGTTGCGAAAGAGCCTTTAATCTAGCCCCGATCTGATGATGTCACTAAAGCTAAAAAATTAGTTTTTGCATTGATATCGATGCGTCCAAACATTGAGTTTCTCCGTTTTTCTTTTGTTTAGTCCACTGGAATAAGCAAGCAAGAACAAAGCTCGAGAGATATCAAGAGTATGTTGATTGGTCACCAAGGGCAGGAGGGAAATCAAGATGGTGCTGTTACACTGGTACGTAGAACTGATCAGCTTGTTTTCAGTTGAAAGTGTCTAGAAAAGGGGGAGATGGATATGAATCTAAAATAAATAGGGTCTTAATGACGTGGGCGATTCCCATTTAGTAAAGGAATTTCTAGTTTTCTAGTTTCTAGAAGTTCCTGATAAATGTAGCCTGCGTGCAGAATTGGAAATTTAAAAGAGGAGAGAAAGTAGAGTCTGCGCAACAGAGCTGCTTTTCCTGTTCGCTGACATCAACATTTCATTCTAAGCACAAGAACAACAACTCCATTAGCGTGCAATGTTTTTCTGTAATTTTAGTTGTTCAAAAGAACAAACAGACCTATTCTATTATCCTGATACCATTCATTTATACTTCTGCTCGAAGGCGCCACTTTGAAAACTGAAAAAGCAATTGAAATTCCCCCAACCAATCAAATTCGGTTCCTTTAATTTGAGGAACCTGTGAACAAGAAAATTGGCTCAGCTTCGCAGACTCTACTTTTTCTCCTATTTTCAATTTTGTCAACAGAGTCTGCACGAAGCTAGATAAATGTGATGCAAAGTTCTTCGGCCTACTAACTTTCGGCCAATATTGACTTTGTACTATGTTCCTCCCTATAGTCACATCAAATCTAACAATATTGTAAATGAATCGCAAATTTTTATTAACTAGAGCAGGTAGAACATTGTTTCATTTCTATTACTTGTAGACAAGCATCTTAAGCCCCTATTCAATTTTGTTGCATTTAACGATAAAAGAACTATATCATTAAACAAATTTTGCACCACTATATTCTTGCCGATTTCATCTTGTAGATGACAACGAAAGACAGGCACTTGTTCAAAATGGAGACAACAAAGACGCAGTTGATAATGCCCGTAATAAGTTTTCTTTTGATATTTTTCAAGCTTCTTTGCCTTTGATGGGCAAAGAATTTTCTGAGTTTCTTGTTAGAGAGATCTTTTATCTTTACAAAATTGTCTAAATTTCGAAGATAGTATTTCCAGGGGCGTAGCTAGCGGGGGGGGGGGTGTAGGGGGGGTAACACCCCCCGATACTTCATGAATTCGTCGGTAAATCTTCAGTTTGTCAACAAAATCCTTGGTTTGTCGGTATAATCATCTGTCAGTAGGTGAAATAGCACCTAAATTTGTTTCCATCTATGTCTTCGTCGGTAAATTTTTCGTCGCTCCAAATCAAAATTGCGTTGCTACCTTTCAAATTCGAAGCCATTTTCTTCTCAGCCTCCCTATAAATTTGGCGGTATTTTCTTTCTGTTGTTGATGGCAAAAGCAATTCGCATGATCATTCTTTTCCAAAGGGCCTAGAAAGCCGTGCTGCCCGATCCTGGTTTGATCCTGTGTAAACATAATATAATTAGGGATCGATCCCGTGTGAACGTCTGCGAAATTTTAGGATCGATCCCAAGCCAGATCGATCCCAAACTGGATCAGTTCCATTTTCCCGTGTAAACAGGGTCTAAACCAATCAAATCGCAGAACAACTGAATTCGTCTTTATTGACACACTGTTTTTTATTACGAGTCTTCTTCCATCACACAAGTTTTCAACACCTTAGATACTCAAATGTTTTCCTTTCGTTTATATTGAATTTTTAGCCCTGTTTACACTACAACTTTTGACCTGGGTTGAACCTGGGTTAACATTAACCTGGGTTAGAAATTTGTAGTGTAACCTGGGTTGAACCTGGGTTAAGCCAACCCCACTCTGGAGGTGGGTTGAACCTAGGTTGACCCCAGGTTAAGAACTTAGAAATGAAGTGTAAACGCAAACCTGGGTTGAACCCAGGTTAACGATCTAATTCACGCATGCGCCTTTTGAGCCATGAAAGGCGCCAAACACAAAGTCAAAACAAATTCGTCTTGGAACGCTCGTGCAAAAAGGTCCTTCAATTTATCATATATCTTGCAGCATATCTTGAAAATGAATGAAACAAGGGCTGAAAGAGGTAAACTATGGGGCGACGATGAAGTCTTGTCGATAATCGAAATGTGGGCGGACGAAGACATCCAGCAACAGCTAGATTCATGTACCAGAAAGCGCCCTTCACAAGGAAGCGCATGCGTGACGAATCTAACCTGGGTTCAACCCGACTTTTACACTATACTTTGTTGTAAATGCAGTGTAAACGAAAGTGGGTTCAACCTGGGTTCAACCCAGGTTAGCGTTAACCCAGGTTAGCGCTAACCCAGGTTAAAAGTTGTAGTGTAAACAGGGCTTTTCTCTCGTTTTGCATCAAATATTAGCTTTATTTATGCATTTTTGTCATAATTACTGGAAGTTTTTTTAATTATCTATTTCCAACGAACTTTGCAGCAAATTTCAACCATCTGACGGCAGTTGACTGTTTTGAAATTGGGTATATTGAGTTCAAAATGGGAAGATACGAGCCAATGCTAAAGTGGATGAATATAGCAAGAGAAAAATGGGAAAGTGACAATCGTTTACCTGACGGTGTCAACAGGGACATTTTCCTACATGACTTGTATCAGTATTTATCGATCGCATCACTAGCGGTAAGTACACTCGGCGGAATCAAACCTCATTCCCTTCTTTTTAACTTTGGTTTTTCCTCTTCAGTATATCAACTAGGAAAAAATTCAAAAATCTTAACAAATGATTTTGAAAAGAAGCTCTAATATATTGCAAAAGGTGGTGGCATAGCCCCATCGTCGGAGGCCCTGTTTCACCTTGATTCACTTCCTTGAACAAGTGCTCATTAAATTTTCGACTGTTTCAGGGTGCGCTTATAATTTTTTCAGATCATATGCAGCGAAAAGAAAAGTAGAATGTTAGAAAATTTTGAGCGATGAACTTCAGAAGATAAAATTAAACAGGCAATACAGATGCACAGCTAGACTGTTGCATTTCTTGCTAGACGAATATCTTTTCCTATTGAATCTACCTGTGGGCACTTATTAAGAGATGTAGCGCTCATACAAGAGAGGGGGCACTCATTCAAGGGATGCACTTTTTCGAGGGGTTGGGATAATTCTTTTTTGTTAGAATAATTTTAATAATCAAGCACAGAGTATCTATCGAATCGCTTTATTTTTAGGATAAATCCTGGAATGTTGAAGATGCTGCTAAGTACAAACAAATGGCATTGCGTAAGTGTTTACAGAATTACATTTTAGGCTCCCAGGGCGGTCGCTATGCTCACATGTTCCCTTTTAAAGTGAAATTTCTCTCCAGTTCTCAATAATATTTCTTGAATACTCCCTATACACGCTCGAGATCTTGTCAAAATGTTCCCTTGATCCCCGTTAAAAATACGCAGCTTCCTTTGTACTCTTGCTCCTTTGAAAAACGGCAGCTTCCTTCGTTCCCCATAACCCCTAGCAGGGCCTCATATTTTACGTTTCTTGACTGCCACCCATTTGGCTTTATTGTATTATGAAACAGCACAGCCTTTCTTTATACAACACATTAGTTGCTTTTAAAGTCTTTTGCGCAACCGGCATACTTAGCGGTAGCTGTCTTTTAATACAAGGGAGAAGTTTACTGTTTTATGTATATTCATACAGTATGATATTAGGCCGGTTTTGAAATTTCTGTTTTCTTTTTAAGTCTGCAAAACATTGTAATTTGTCCAAACTATATCAAACTCCCCCAAAATACTGAATTAATGCAAATAAAGGTTGTTGAGTTTGAAGAAAGATATAATGCGATGTAAAAGCATTTGGATGATTGAGGGGACTCATTCGCTATAACGAAGTCGTAAAAGAACTCGCAAAATTTGCTTCGCTTTATAGGCTATATCGTTCGTTATAAGCTGCTTGTTATACGACGGTAACAGTAGGGCTAGCCCGGGCTAGTCATTGTAAAGTCAAAACAGGCAAACAACAGATTTGAATGTTCTCACTGATTTCAGTCAGGCGTGATTCGTCTATCTTTTTCAAGAATCTCGCCTAACAGGGTTGGCCATAAACTTTGTAAACCACCTTTTTAGGTAGCCCGGTTTACCAGGCTAACCCACCTCCATGTAAACATGTCCTTGCTTCGCATCACTTGGCCTCATCAACAGTGGCGTAGCGTGACTTTTTCAACTGGGTATTCTCTATTAAACAAAAGGGTGGGGCAAGGTGTGGCTTGATGGGGCTTGATGGAAATAGGAGGGATAATAGGAAGATTGAAACGACTAGCTATTGACAATTTATCTAATTTTCTTTCTGGTTCGGTTGGCAAGTACTGCACTGTCAGGGCATTACTATGATGAAAACGATACTTTGCTAAAGAACCCAACGCAAATATACTCTTCGAACTTATTCATTGCATCAAAATACCACTAACCATTTCATCAAAAGTAATTCAAATCAAAACGTATCATTGAAAGTCAGTAAAATTTTGCTAGTCGAAATATGTACCAATAGTTGTTGTTGAATCCTCTAAAATTTGCACTGATGTAAAGAGGAAGTAACTGTAAACACCTTCTCTTGATACCTTAATACAAAAGGGCTTTCGAAAGTTATTCACATGGGGCATTACACGAGTTATAAATAGTTTGTGTTATGCAGTGGATGCAGTCTAGACTTCTTCATGGCTTAATCGTGATATTTTCAATACAAGTTAATGATTGAAAGAATCGAAGGTAATGAGACGAGAGACTGCACAATAAAGCAAATAAATGGGCTCGTATAATGCAAACAAAATAGGCCAACAATATAAGTGAATGCACCAGGCAACTATAAGGATATTATCCAGGCCTATCTGCATTTACTTTAATTCTATCACATAATACAAACAGAAGCATCCCTGATTGACAAGCAATAACAAAATTGGCATTTCAAGAGGCACAGATCTGAGTCAGTGTAGCATTATATAGAAGCCTACCTTTCTTTTCCACTTTGCTGTTGGTAGGTTAAGATTAGGGGTCAAATGAGAGAATGATTATTAAACAGTAATACGGACACTGCAATAGCTTTGAATGAAGTCATGTTTACTGTTTTCGATGAAGATCCACCACTCCAACCGCTCCGACGTCCATTAACTGTTTATATCGATCTCAAAACGAGACTTTTTTGAACCAACTTTGAGGCTGTACGCTGCATATTTCTCAGCGTACAAGACCATTGTTTTAGCTGATTAACGGCAAATATTATTCATGGAAAGGAGCATTTTGATTGGTTAGAGTACCGTCTAGGGTATTCACTGCGTATTCATGACCGATCTCCATTCAACATGAAGTAACTCAATCTTCAAAATTAGCTTCGAAGATCTCCCAGCTTCTCTATGCGTCGCAGCGTTATTGTTTCAAACTAATTTCGTGATATTTTGTACTTGTACAAAATGTAGAATATCGAAGGTAACGAATTCAACCAGAATCAATAGGCCATAAACATCTTTTAGTTATTACAAGTATACGTCGTATTAATATATTTTCTGAGAAATCTCAGGGTATTCACTGAATACCTTGAATACCCGGACGCTACGCCACTGCTCATCAATCTTTTCATTTTTTCAAATTCAGTTAAGGTAAAATGAAGAGTAATGGGGTTGAGGGGTGTCCATAATCCAAAAGCTGTCTGCCGGTTCGCATTTTCTATATAGTCCCTGCCAAAAGAAATCGTTTTTACAGTTTTGTGAAGTGAAAAACGTGAATAAATGTTACCAAGATATATGCAGTCTAACTTGCACTAAAGGCAACTTACATGTCTTACTTGTCTATCACAGGGATAGCAGCTAGAAGAACAGAGAACCACGAAGATACAAATGGGAGAGTAAACAACGGTAAAAAAATTTTTCGAGCTCCAAGAATACTATCGTACATTCGATCGGGGAAGTGTATTGAATGATATCATAACAATTGCCTTATATAAGTCAATTACTTTGAAGTGTTAGCGTAATTGCTATTGAAATATTTTGTTCGTTGGTTGAAAGGATCTCTTTAATACAAACAGAATAATAAAAGAATCGAAAGATCATTAGATTCTGATATTGCTAGTAATAATACTGCAAAACCCCCACATCCCATGCTGCTCACATGGGCAACATGTCGAAGCAGCTTTTCAATGGCTTCTTCATGAGGAATTGGGAAAATATAAACCAACTACTGTATTGTTCTATTAAACGCCCTCTCTCTAATGAGGGCTTTTCTAATCCCCCCTCCCGTTAAACAGAATTTGTCAACTGAGCTTCCATCATTTAATAAACGCCCAGGATAAGAATAATTAAAAAATAGCAATTTCATGCTTGTACATCAGATTTATAAGCAAGGCATCATCATAGAATCATTTTGATGCTGCGCATTGCCTTTCACGACTAACGGTTCAAATGATAAAGAAATACCATGTTTCGAAGAAGGAAATTATCCGTGAAAACCGTCACATCTTCTGATGACGATAAATGGATCTATTTGAAAAAGCAGATTTATATGTCGAGGAGAATCTATCAATTGAAATTGGTCCAGATAAAGAGAAGGGTGACTTAACTGGTTAGATTTTGTACTTTTCATATTTAGCGTGGACTGATTTAAAAAATGATTCTGTCTTTCAAGAAAAAAGTTTCAATTAAATCTCCTCTCTATTCGCTCCTCCTGGAAGCCAAAAATTTTAATAAATGGTCGGGCATTTTAAAGATCAAATACGGTATATGACTGACCCAACAAATTTTTTCTTACACTAAATCCCATTTTAAGGACTTCTATTACTTTTATTTGTTCTATTTCCCTGATGACATAAACTTTACATTCCTTCCAATCGATCTCATAAAACGCGTTTTTCTTTTTGAAAAATCTTTGGTCAGGAGCAGATGAGGTAATTTGCTTCACATGCTCATTTTATTCTTTAGAGGTCGGAGCTCCGGGAGAGATCACCAATGGAAACAACCCGTCAGCATGTTGACAAGAGTTATAAATTCGGTATCAAGAAAAGAATAAGCAAAAGAGTCTAAATTTGATTTGAAGAAGATATGAGGAAGCAATTGAACAATTGAAATATTCAATCTATATATTGGACATCAGCTCGAAAAGTGAAATTCGTCTGGTTATGCGCATGACAGATGCCGGTTTGATGTAGGAGAATTCTCACTAGATTCATTTCTTCAAAGAAGAGTTGGGTTGATGTACTCCAAAACAAGTACAACTACTAACGAAAGAGATTGCGAACTTGGACACTTAAGATAGACAGAATTATTTACCATTTATTCGTTAAAGGGTTTCGCTATTAGATACATTTTAGTTGGTCATTAGAGCAAAGTTACTTATATCAAAGCATGTTTCAGAACATCGTTTCCCGTTTCCCACAGCAAGACTTTCGTAACTATTAAAGTCACAAAATTTTGCATTTGCCGTACAATACTTCTTGCCCAGAGTGAAGTGAGGTGCTTCCAAATGCCAAGCAAACTGATGCGAATCACCTTCGAAATATTTCATGGAAATATCATGTGGAAAATTAAACTAACAAAACTTGTAAACAGTGACGTAACAGAGATATCTGGGGCCTTAAGAAAAACTTGAGAAGGGGCCCCTATTTACGGACTGCAATAAAGTCCGATCAAGGGTACGGTAGCCTGTGTTCCAGACCCCTAACTTTCAAGTCAGGGTTCTGGAGCACAGCCTAGGGTGCGGAGCATGTCAAACACAAGATTTAAATGTGATAAACTATTTGGAGTTGAGTTATAGAAGTTTCAGCTGAAGAGTTTTAAAAGTTTTTGAAAATGAGTAGAACTGGAACAAAGTTTTAAAAAACATGGATATAAATATAACTTGGGGATCCTTTTTTGGTTAAGAACCCCAAGTTATCGAACTATGGTACCCTACTGCTGTAGCCACTGCTTGTAAACCAGCAATGCTCAACGGGCTACCATAATTAAATATACTAAAATGAAATGAAATATATATTTGAATTGAAGTTTGATGTTTTACAGATGCTTTTAGTGTAGTTTGTGAGAAGAATTTAATTTAGCGTGTAGAGAAATAGTTTAGTAGCAAAGTGGACCTCAATCATTTAAACGCTGAGAGTTTTAAATTTATATGTTACACATGTACAACGTACGCATAGATTGCAGTTTATCCTTTAAAAGCTAGATTGTAACAAGAATTTTATGTGCATCATAAAGTCCTTATGAATCAAGATCTTGTCGTTTTGAGACACTTTCCTTGATCACTTACGTTACGGCTCTATCATATTAACATCAGTTACTTTCTCACCCACTGTCTCTACCTCCCATGTCAGTAATTGGTCAATGAACGAACGATTCGGGCAGATGTTCTTTTTGCACTGTTTCATGTGATTCCAAGCAATCTGCATGAGATATGGCGTTATTGTTTAAAAATAAGAGCTTGTGAGACACATATATCGATTTCAATAAAGAATTTTACCGATCAGCGTTAGGCCGAATTCCTGGGCATATTTGTTGGGGAGACGAGTCTAGATTCCTATTGTTTAAATTCTATCCATTTTTCCGAACCAATGAGAAGGTGCTTCATATGCACATGCGCATTAGGGCGAAAGCTTATGGACAAGCACTTCACAGCATTTGATCAAACTGATACATAAACCCTTTTCACTAAATTTCTTTCGAGACTGGCTTATTCCCATAAGGTTGCGAATGCTCCTACCACAGAAATCATTAGTTGATGTGAAAATAACGGCATCAACTTTAACTGCGCATGTGCAAAATATTAAGCCAACAGATATTCAGTAAAATGCTTCTTCGTTTCCCTCTCCCTTACAAATCATGATAGTTGATAGAAATATATTGGTTTTGAAAATATTAGGGCTTTATTACCCGCAAAAGGAAGATCAATGCTGGTTTTTACTTGTATTTTGACAGTCAAAACACCAAATAGGTTTATATCAAAAAAAGAGAGAAAATGCTGGTTTTTACTTGTATTTTGACAGTCAAAACACCAAATAGGTTTATACCAAAAAAAAGAGAAAATACTGGTTTTTATTTGTATTTTGTCAGTCAAAACACCAAATAGGTTTATACCAAAAAAGGAGAGAAAATAATAATGTGCATTGGTACAATAATTCGACATTGTTTTGGAATCATTTCTACATATAGATAGCATGAATATTTTAATAGAGGGAATTCGGCAACACAAACTGCCGATAGAAACATTTAAACTAGTGGGCATTGAAATCATTATGTAGTATAAAGATATTTTGAGAAGGCTAATTTTGTGATTTATTCAATCCGAAGCAAATTGCACAGGTCAAATAAATTGAGCTATAATACCTGTAGAGAGCATTTATTGCGATACATCATATAAGCAAGGGCTGCAGTGACACTTCTGCTTATACCCAATTCAGATGATATCAGAACGGATTTTCCATCTCTCGTATCGTGTGAGTCTAGCGTGGAGTTAAATGAAATTTCCATTAAAACGTATAGAGCTAGTTATCATCGCCAGTTTAGTTGTCTAGGATAAGACGTGGCACGATATTTCAAGTCTGTTGACACGAAGAGCGTCTCTCATAGTAAACGCCGTTCTAAGCCGATGACGTCATGTGATGGTTCGAGCACTTTTCAGTTCTTTTGGAAGTGGTTTTCAATGTCAACATCGTTTTGCAGATTAAGATCAAGTTAGCTATTCGTTTGATAATTTTGGAAAAGCATTACACTTAAAAAGGTTATAAAAAAAAGCGGCAAACATTTATCAGTTTAGGATATGTTAACATATAATAATCTTTAAAAGTGAAAAAATTGCCAATCATACTTCTGATGAACGTTTATCTTACCAATGAAGGTGCAGATTTGAGAAAACGAAGATAGAATATCTTCTCCCTTTTTATCCAAAACGTTGACGTTTAAAAGAACTGGAACCATCTTGTTGTTTTTGCCTTGAATATCTGGCTTTCCCTGAAACCTGAAAGAAACAATTCACTGAGTGCTAATTGGTCTTCATTGCGATGATTTGACTCTGGACAGCGATTTCATGGAAGAACTGGCGGAAAATTCCCGACTGAATTATATTTTGAGGTGAAATGCGACAAAATGAACCTCATTCTAAAGGCCATGAAATGTTTAGATATGGATAAAAAATCAACAGAATTAATTTCAAAAAACCAAAAAATTGTAAGAACAGTTCAGTTATAAAGTAAAATTTTATATTGTGAAAGAGCTGAAAATAATCCATTGCCGGGTTTTCATCTCTATCAGGTTTAAACTCAAATGTAAAAATTCTTGCAACACTTAAATATTTTTGTCCATTTTTACCTTTTTTCTTATTGTTGTGATAAATATCAATCGAACAAAAGATTGTCTAAAATCCTCAGCATTTCCTTCTTTATTCATTTTGATAGTGATGGTATAAACAAATAGAAAATAGCCCGATTTTCGCTAAATTGCTTTTTCCAGTATCCAAAACCTTTAGTTTATTATCGCTAAACTTAAAATCAAGCACAAATATCAAATTAATGCATATGGAAATATTAATCTCTTTTGTTGATGATTGATAAACTTAATCAATCGCAATCACAAAATAGAACAACATACAATGTATCCTTGCGATCTGAGACATTGACATGGGCTTTGACTTTGAGATCCTTGTTTACTCTGCCACTTTGCGATTTACTGTGTTTTCCAAGAAACAGGAATCCTGGTATGATTTCAACCGGGTAGATGAAAATGTCATCGAGTTGCTGCAAAGGTTATTGGAGTTAGCAATCAGGTACGTTGAATGCATGATATATTCTATAAGTAGCAATGAATGGAGAAGCATAACTATCAATGCTGAAACTATAGATGTTAGCACTGGAATACAAACTTTGCAGGCAAATATTTACTGCTTTTTCGCGATATATTGCTGCCTCTTACTTTCTTGCTGAGGAGACGAACCAATGAAAATCGTCAGATGTGTGAGGCAACCCTCCGTCCTGTATGTAGGCAATCACCATGCGTAATAAGAACTTCGCTCTATGCACATGCTCTTTCGCTCCAGGAAGGAGGGTTGCCATGCCACACTCATCCAAAAAGTCTCTTAAGCCCTGGTCAAACGATCCAAGATTTCGCCCAACGTTTGACCAGGGCTCTATGTTCGTCGTTGGCTTTAATTCAGGTACGAATAGATACATTCATGACAGCAATCATGCAAATATAAATTTTATAAAATGGAATGATATCGTGCACTGTCATCTAAACGTTTAAATGAAAACATCGAACCTGCGGAGAATAAAGCATTTCTTGGGTTCGTAGAAACGGATAGAGCCCACTGAGCTTCTCATATCCACCTGAAGCAAGAAGAAAAAGATTTAATTAATGAAATCAGTGCAGTATTGACAGTTTCATGCCGTCGTTTAATTTCTATATCAATTTTTTTAATATTAAAAGGGCTATAATTTTTTTTAATATCAAACTACTCAAAAATAAAAATTTGGGGAAATGGTAAGACCCAGCTAACAATACTAGTTAAGAAATCCTTGAAGTAAAGTTGTAACTCATTCCATTCATAAGATAATAAACTCTAAAAAAATTTCAATTTTACAAAATGATACACTAGCCGTAACAGATTAAAAAATGTTTAGATCCTCACTGCAAGGATTACGAAAAATCTAAGATATATTTTTGTTCGGCTGTGGAGGACTTTTTCAAGGTTCTGCTGCAACTGTGAGGATTTTAAGGTTTGACCGCTACCATGTTTGTATAGAATTTACGAGTTTTGCTATAATTGAGGAACACAAAAGCAGCATCACCTTTTATGACTTGCACTGGGTATTTGCTGCCATTGTCCCAGAGGAACCTCGCAAAAGCCACTGCCTTGCTATCTATGTGTGAAGGCAGAATATCAGTTGGTCGATTAATCTCATAAACATAGGTGATAAAAGAATAGTTTGAAGGAACAGTATATGAATTGTACGATAATTTATGAAAACGTTTTGCTAAAAAGAACATAGCATAATAATGTCTATTTTTGTGTATAAAGTAAAACAGTACAAGAAATTAATGCTCGTAAGAAGTCTCTTGGAAAAAGGAATTGGGTTCTAAGTGGGAGTTGGGTGACCATCAGCCACAGGAAATTTCGCTCAGAAATTCACAAGAGCATGTTGCAGTTAAGATTTGTCACAGATATCACACAATTGGTACATTTGTAAGGGTAACTATTTCAAAGATGTCGTGTTTAATAACGAAGGTGATGTGTTTAATGTATATGCACCTCTATTCTTTGGGCGACGCCAGGAGGGCTGGGGGGCTTCAGCACCCCTTTTGGCAAAAAAGTGTTTTTAAGAAAATAAAAAGAAATAAAACATAGGAAAAAGAAGAAAAGAATAGTGCGATAAATACTTTTATTGCTCAATTCCCAAAAAATTAGCCGAGGTATATGGGGCCTCAAAAAGTAATGAATACATTTTTAAAACTACTGGAATTGACCAGGCGTAATAAAAGCATATCTTAAAAATAGCAAAATGTTTTAAACGATTGCAAAAAATTAGCTTCAAGAAATATTCTGAAATGTATTTTAAGGTAATCTAAATGGCATGGTCGCAAAATTTTATCTTCTTTCAATTTTACCTAGGGCATCCTAAGACAACCTCTCGCTGGCCCTTTTCAATGTACTGCTAGCATAACGAGTGCCCTATACTATTATAGCCAAAAAATATCGTGGTAAAACATTTTAGTGATTTTTTCAAATGTTGGTTTTTACTCTTATAATGCAATCAACTCTAGCCTCCAACTTTGAATTTCTTGGCGCTGCCCCTGTATTCTTAAGATTTTTTATCCGTTTTCTGAGATAACTGAAAACTTATCTTGACAATTATTATAATGAGGTGACTGTGACAGGCTATTTCATGCAATAATTAGGGGTAAATTTGATAGTATATCTTTTCAAATTCTGAAATAGCATTATTTCTATATGAACACAAGTTTAAAAGTAGCCATGAATAAGATAAGAATAACAAGTCATAAATTAGAACCTGGTGATGAAAGAGTGGTTGTTTTATCATCATAAACCACAATGTTTCTTTTAGTCTCCAGTTCTCCATCAATTGGAATTTTATATGCCCCATCATCATTCTATATTACAAAATTAGTATCATAAATTATAAAATAGGTTATGAAATAAAAATATGAAAACAAATTATAAAATGGATTTGGATTATAAACTATGAAATGGACCTGTGTCAGTTTGATGTTATCATATGATTGTGGACAAAAATGCTGCTTGCATTCTTTTGTGTTACAGTAGTAAAAAGTTATATTAAAACAGAAGATATCTTGGTTGAACATTTTATTGTCTTTATTGACCATATGACGCCAAACGGATACCTTTAGAAATGATCCAAGCTGTAGTCTTTAGTGACGACCTATGTTATGAATTCTCTAACAACAAATGTGTGAAACAGTTGAAGTCTGTTATACAATACATCTGTTGATTTTCACGTTCTTAATGCTCGAAAACCTTGCATGAATTAATAAATGAATGAATGAATGAATGAATGAATGAAAGAATAAAAAAATGAATGAAAGAATAAAGGAATGAATGAAAGAATAAAGGAATGACTAAATTTGACAAGATTCATTCTTCCATGGGCTCATTCAATCACACTATGTTTTTACATAACTTGGCCAATCATGGAAGTTGATACTTTTAAGCAGGTGAAATTTTGTACCCTTTATTTGTAATTTTTGTTTGTGAATTCAGATGATGCAACAGTGCTCTCATCCTTTAGATTGCACAGATACTCACAGTTTGAGATAATTTAGCAGTAATTATGTGACTTTCCATGAACTGTTCAAGTTTCCTTACATCTGAAAAATAAAAGACATATGCAAAATGATGATCGTTTCAAAAGTACAAAGATCATGTTCAGTGGAAAACATGAATAACAACCAGCTTATGATTCCATGGGTATTTAAGGCAAGTTGTTCATGAAAAAACTTTTAGGATGTAAAGAAAAATAGCCAAAATTAGATATTGCAATGATAATACAAAAGTATGCAAAAATATGAAGCTAGAGAGTTTCAATTGTACTTTGGGTAATTGATAGCTGTTTTGTATTGAAGAATCGGTTGTACAAAATAAGAGCCTTACCAAAAAGCAGGAGATATGTCTGATCACTCAGCATCGGGTATTTCATTTCCTGAAAAATGTCTCGACTGTTTTCAAAACAATATAAAATTTAAAAAAAATTTACTTATTAGTGTCACATAATTATCAATTGAAAAAGAGCAGTTATGGTGATGTAAAAGAATACAAAAAATGGATGTTAATTTGTTGTTTAGTTTGATTTCATGCTGATTCTGTTGTTGTACTATCTGAGATTTTTAATATTAAAAATAATGTGGTTTATAGCCTGTAATCTGTCTTGAAATGCTATATTTTAAAAGTAGAGAAACTGTATGGAAGAATTATATTGATAGAGATTTTTTCATTACATCATGACTGAAATCTTGAGAGAGCTTATTGGATACCATTTAAGTCGGAAAACTTTACAACAATGGACTATCAGCAGGGTCTGTGCCATTGATTCTAAAGTAGGGAGGGGGGCAATAAGGAGGGCTACCAATTTTATACCATAGGGGGACTTGATACCTATAATTAGCAAGAAAAGTTAGCCCCAAACTTTTCCTGAACCATTTCTGAACAAGCCCCAAACTTAAACAAAGGGCACAGAATGCAATACATAAATTTCTACAGACTTCCTACAGAGTTAAGGTCAGTATAATTTTGTTGAGAATGCAATGGGCCTGTTAGTCAATTTTTTACTTGAGTCATGGCACCAATATATCATAATAAAGATTAATAGTTGATCTGGTGATTCAATTAGGCATATTGCAATGCATTGACCTTTTGCTTATGAAAGCTGCCTCCCAAGTGATTTTGGAGCTGCTTGGCGTATCTAAGGACCTCATCAAGACGAAACTGGTTCGTTGGCATACGCACACCTAGTATGTGTCGGCCTTGACTTACGTAGATGTTGGCAAAGCAAAATGAACAGATGGACTTACTAAAAAGGTCAAGCAATGGGACAGAATATGACATGACCAACCAAATTTATTTGTACGTCAGTTCTGATAGAAGTTGAAATGACTAACAGACCTGATTAAGGATGTTGTAGAAATCTGTCGGTTCAAGAAGTTTTATTCCTTCCATAGTTTGATATTTTATACTTCATACGTCAACGTTGTGCCAAGAAACAAAGCTGCCATTTTAGTGTTACCATTATACAGTGGCTTCCTCTGTTTCTATGGTTTCCGCTTTCCTTCGCAGTTACGGTTTCGCAGCTACGCAACAGCAACAACAACAAATTTCAAGTTCCACGAAAGCTGATGGGAAAAGTTTCGACAAATCATGTGATAGGAAATAAAGGACCGTCTGTGAGAATTTCGCAAATAATGGTGAGTGCTAAATGTTCTTTGTTCGATAAACCAAATCAATTCACTTATGTTATTAAGTCTTTAGGGTGAAACATATTCGCCTCTCCCAGACCTTCTTTTAAGATATGAGATTATACCCCCTTCTACTCTTGTCTCTCTCTCTACAACTCACTTTTCTTGTCCCTCCTCAGCTATGGTATTTCAGCCTTGGGAATGACTTATGAATCCTACCTACATCCACTCTTTAATCTTCAAAAAAAATTCTTTGCTACATTAAATTTGAACCCTTCCTTTCTCCTAGCATGCCAATTTTTCAGTCATTAAAGTAAAGACTTTAAAAATTGTGGATATTCTGCACCTTAATATTACAAATACTACCATGTATGGTCTAAAAAAATTCAGTTCTTTCGTTCAAAACTTTGGAACAATCTTCTACTGTTCATTCACATTGCTAGCTCTACTGTTGTTTTTCACTCAAAATTGAAAAGTTACCTCCTTGATTCATGTTCACTAAACTAAATTTTAATTAGGCTTGGTGTAGGGTATTTCCTCTTTTATTGCACTTGCTTGCCTGATTTCTGTTTACTTTGCAAGGTATGAGTGATCCCTTATAGGGAAATAATACGTAACAATGCACAGTCTTTGATGGCATCCTGGAATATTGTGGTCTTTTGGTCCACAATATTTCATAAAACAAAAGATAAAGATGATAGTGATGATGTTTGAGGTTCACTTTGGTTCTAAACTATCATCTTTCTACAAGTTAAAGGTTTTCTTACAAACTACACCATACAACATTAAACATCAAATTTTGATTCAAACCAGTCTGCAGAGTATGGCAGATGCATGCACAAAGTCAATGCATTCCTTCAAGCCAAAATTTGAGATTGCACACAAAATTTACTTTAGCATAAGTAAAATAATTTCTTTTTGCATGCCATATGAATAGTAAAAGAAGGTTTACAAGCACAAAACATGGGGTAAATGACTGTGTGTGCAAGAGATCTTATTGTGAACTGTCATGCTTTTAATAATGAGATTCAAATAGATATTTCATTTCATTTTGATTAATTTAAGCATGATAGCCTTTTCAGATTAATTTAAGCATGATAACCTCAAATAAATAGAAACCAGAAATATCATAATGTCATCCTGTTCAAGAAACTGTCGTGGAATTTTCACTTGCAAGAAATGAAGACAAAAGTGATCAACACACTTAAAGCCTTCTTAATGGAAACATGGGGAGTTATCCTCAAAAACAAAAAGTACTGTTTAGAAAACTTACACATCTAAAAAGAAACTGACATTTTTGGTGTATAGAACTGGATGGTTTTTTTAGAGAGAAACTCTTAAGCTAAAAATCAATGAATATAAGATGGAAATGATCCAGAAGCATGTAGCTAGACACATCAGCACTAACTATAGCCAGTGACGGCTGGCACGCAAAATCAGATGGTACTGGTAAAAGTATTGTTAGCTATATGAACATTTTTTTAAAACAGACCAGCCGGTGTTATGGTGGGGGGGGGGGATGTAGCTCCTTGGAAAGCTTTTTGCTTTGAAACGAATATGGTCCTAATTCGTATCTAAAAGACTAATGTATTTCCCAATAAATTTTTGTGTGTAGAAATCTGTAGTAAAGACACATAGAGCATGAGGAAACTGCAAGCACTCTTCTTTTAAACATAATGGAAAAGTTTTTTTGCAAATGATGCCACGTTAAACTAAAAACTCATTTATTTGAAAATCTTTCTAAACGACGCTGATTAAAAGACTTAAACCTATTTACAACATTATCCTTAAAAGTTGGTTGCTCTGAAAGTGATCGAACAATGGTATGTTCCACTTGGAGGAAGATTAGCATCTCTTTTCTTGCTTGTAACATCGTTGATCTGCTCGGTGACACAACTTTCTTCATTCTGCTGAACACTCTTTCGCAGTGAACACTGGTAAGTGGTGTTGCGGCAGCCAGCTCCAGCAAAATCAAAGCCTGAGGTAATGCTTCTTCGAGACCAGCTGTTTTAATCACTTTTAGCAAGTCTTGAACATTTGGCTTTCCCTTCTTTATATTTTCCTCTTCGACTCCTCCTCCTGTTTCCCTTTCAAATGAATCCTCAACTTCTACTGTGCTTCTGTCAGTCTCTTTGTTTTCGTTCGGCTCCTCATTTGCTTGCTTCGTTTTACGCTGTCTCTCTCTTTTCTTAGCTGCCAGCTCATCTCGTTCTCTTACGATTTTATCTAGCAGAATTTTTATTTCGTTGTTATCGTAAAGCACACTTAGGTTATGTTCAAGCGCTAAAGCATCAGGTACTGCGAATGGATAGAGTTCTTTGACTTTACATATAAGTTCTTTTTGCTTAGCTGGTGGCATCCTACGATTTTATCTAGCAGAATTTTTATTTCGTTGTTATCGTAAAGCACACTTAGGTTATGTTCAAGCGCTAAAGCATCAGGTACTGCGAATGGATAAAGTTCTTTGACTTTACATATAAGTTCTTTTTGCTTAGCTGGTGGCATCCTACGATTTTATCTAGCAGAATTTTTATTTCGTTGTTATCGTAAAGCACACTTAGGTTATGTTCAAGCGCTAAAGCATCAGGTACTGCGAATGGATAAAGTTCTTTGACTTTACATATAAGTTCTTTTTGCTTAGCTGGTGGCATCTTTTTCCTCTCGTCAAATTTTGAAGGGTGAATTAATTCCATCCATTTGAATCTTGTGAGATTTTCAAATCGCCAAAGCAATTGTTCCAAAAACTTTTGTGCAATTTCTGAGGAAATTGCCAGTAAATTTATCTTCCAACTACCTGTTGAATCTACTGCTTCCTCGACTCCTCTCCATCCATTTCGTTGGCGAACTGCAGGCATCTCAGGATCCAGGAGCATTGCATCCTCCCAAATATGGTTGCAATCCAAATTCAGCAAAAATCTCTGAAAATCTTCCAGCATTGATGACAATTGCACTGCGTCAAGGGTCGGATTTTGCATGACTGTTATTATTGGGGCACAGTGGGCAAAAATCTTTCGGTATATTTTCAAAAGAAATACGAATTCGATGTGCTGAATTTGCAAACAGAGCCCTCGAGCAGTGACTTGTGTCTCCGTTTTGTCATCTTTATCATTGGCCATTTCATACAGCACTGCTCCGATTGTTTCATACAATGAATCAATGACCCCAATCGCTGCATCACGCAATAACCAACGTGTATCACCAGGTTTCGGTAGACTATGGCCAAGTTGAGACGTTCGCTTTGGGCTGTTTCTAAAAAAACGTATAAGTTTATCAACAGTGTCAAAAAATTTGGCAACTTTTGGAATTTTTTTTGCTGATTGTGAGGCACAAAGTGATATCCTGTGAGCAACACAGTGGTTGTAATATTCAGCAGGAAATCTATCTTGAACCTGCTTTTGGATGCCATTTAATTCACCTGACATCGTAGCGGCACCGTCATAGGACTGCCCGATGAGCTTTTTCCCTCCGTTTTGTGGCGTGATCTTATATTCTTCCAATTTCTTGAGAAGAATCGATGACAATGTATTTGCAGTTGTATCTTTGGAACATTCAATTATTCCCAAAAGGTGTTCCTCTACCTCTCCTTCGTTGATTAGGCGTACTGAAACAGCTGACTGCTCCACCCTGCTAACATCGCTGGTTTCATCCATCATGACAGCCAAAAATTGGGATTTGTCGATTCTCCGCTGAATTTCCTCTTTTACCTCTTGGAACACGCACTCTATCAAATCATTCTGTGGCTCGTGTGACGTATACGTGATCTTTTCTTCGTTAAGAAAATCTTGCAAATCACTGCAATAATTGGCGATGAGGTCAAGCAGCTCGATGAAGTTTCCTCTATTGGATGATAACTTTGATTCGTCATGTGCTCGAAATGCAAGGCCTTGTGCTGAGAGAAACACAGCTAAAGAAATGTGGTACTTTAGTATTCTTGAATATCTTGACGCATTTTTGTTGTGTTGCTGTACCTGTCTACGTCTTACTTCATCCAATGCACAAGAAACGTCAACATTTCCTAAAAGTTGGTAGGCAGTGTGGTTGATGATGTGCATTTTAGTTTTCTCGTGGCGCTTCGAAAGATTCCAAAGGTTGTCTCCAGAAGATTGAAAACCACTTTTTCGTGCAAAAGATGTTGCTTTCATCTAGAAAAAAAGGGATCGTAGGTCAATGAAAATTCTGTAATAAACTTTATTAAACTGTCCTTATTAAATTTATTAAAACACCCTGTACTGGAATAAAATTCTAAAAGCATGATGTCTTCAATCGCCATACTTGTGCCGGAAAATTGCATAATCCTGTCCCGGAATTTTCAGCCGAAAACAAGACCCTGATTGATAGCTCAGTTTGATAGTTTGTAGATTTTTTGTTTCAATCAATTGATTATCGAGCCTCCAGTCACTGAAAAAACGTTTGCTCCAATGAGAGCTATGAGAGTTTAAACTGTAGTATCATACCAACTTTTTGTTTATGAAAAGTTTATGATTACGCTTAGGGCAGGCAGCACTTGTTTGAAAATGCAGTGTTTTGTCGGTTGCTGTCAAAGGCCATAAAGGAGAGGCACGTTGATAATATGGGAAGTTAATCTCTTGCGGCACCGAGCCCCACCAGTGGGTGGCCGCTCTCTTCACGGAAGTACTAGAAAGGAGAATCTAGTGATGCGGGTTTCTAGACGCTTTTATCATCTATTATAAAACAATATAGTATCATCAGGGGCGGATGCAGAAAAAAATCTGACATTCGCAAAGTTTCGACCACGCCTATATGACCACGCCCAGAAAAATCGCTCAAATTTTACTATAGTCTTAGAATCGAAGTTTTCCTTCTACAAGTGAGATTTAATTGAGATATTTGAGAAATCAGTCACTTAAAGATGTATTTTTCCTCATATTATGTTTTAGGATTAGGAAACTAACAACACTAAATATTAAGAATAACAACCAGGTCTGGGTTTCATTGACAATTTGGCATTTTACTCATTGAGGGAACAAGAAAAGAGATCTCTGGAAAAAATTTGAGAAACACTCATCAAGCTTTTGTTGTGTTGGCATGTTTTGTTTCCTACATGACTTTTGTGGTGGAAAAACAACAGCAAAGATTTGAAATATCCTCTTAATGATGATTTAATGGCAAGTCTAGGCATAGAATCACAAATTGTCAAAAACAAAGAGGATGAGCTAAAATAAGGGTATATTAGGTGTGTATATCACCCCTTCTCAGGGAGAAAAACTCATCAAAAACATTTTATGTCACTCACTTAAAAAACAGCCATTTAAAGAAAGGAATAATAGTTCTATTTATACAATGATATTATTTAACAATCAAATACTGTGTTTAGTGTAGAAATTTTCAATGCAATATCCACCCAAATGTTTGACTTCAACACCAAATACTTTAGGGACTCAGAGCTTTTCTACTATTTATTTTGTGCATTCGCCTTTCTATCTAAACTGCTGTGTGATGTGCCTTAAAACAGGACCAAAAATACAAATTAGGTCAATACACATCATACAATTTTAGTATTTTCAGGTGTTGGTAAAACAACAAATGTAACAGTTCTAATTCAAAACAATTCATTGTCTTTCCATAACAAGAACGTCATAAATATATTACAAATTTAAAATGTACATCAAACAAAGTCAGCAATGGCAAAGAAATAAGGCAAACATGGTAACTTTTACTATATGGATTTACATAAGATATTTACTTGGCAGGACCAACTTGCTGTGAATTTCTTATTAATAATGTAGTGATTCCCCCATTAGGATCATTCCATTGATTGCATATTTACTACCCATATTTACATTTATTTACACACACAATAACATAGAAAAGAAAACTGTCAGTCACTTGCAAATTCATAAACAAAAATTAATGAATCTTAAGGGTATTTCAGAACCAAAAGTTTCAAATGGTATACTCTTAGTGTGGAAACCACAAATAATTTTACTAGTTTTAGAGATTAAATTTGTGAAAAGGGTTATAATACTTATGGCATGACCAGACAAATAAAATCAAAATACTATTACAATTTCTCATTTACAAATATGGCAGTCTAGATTTTTCCAAAACTGACAGCATAAAATTAACAAGAAAAGAATACGCCGTAGAAAATGCAATATCTTATTCAAAAACAAATCCCCAGCACAGTCAAACTATTTACAGGTTTGTGATAATAACAATATCTATCAATAAAAAATATCTAGAACTCTAAAATTCAGCATATTCAAATTCATCAAGATATTTAAGAAATCCGCTGATTCAAATTAAAAATCATCTTATATTTGACTCCTTTCACTCACTCAGAAGTACAATTGCTGCCCTTCTGCAAGCAAATATCTCCACAGCTTTCCAACAACAATCATGGCCGTTGGTGTGGAAGCGAGGTTTCTATCTGCTCTCTTTCCAAGGTTCTCTCCCTCAACTGGCTACCAAACATAGTTCGCATCTACCTTCGCCACATTCGCAAAAAAAATCCCATATACATTTCCTATTGGTTTTCAGATGGCTAAATAACATAGCTGGACTGACATTCGCACAAATTTTTGGCATACATTTTTCAGTACTACTTCGTTTGCGCACGCATGCCTAATATATTATAATTCCATTCGACATTCGCATCAAACCTTATTGGTGCTCTGTGAATTTATGCGTAAAAGGGGGAGCCCTCTTTCGAATATATCATCTCTAAATCACGAAAACGAGGGAATAAAACCAAAAAAGTAAACAACAAGGTGACATCATAGCAACTAGAGCAGGAAACAAAACTTTTATTTCTTGTATTCTATGGACCTTTTTTTATTATCTGGCCATTTCTAGTACAATATTCACAATGCTAAAATGTATTAACAGACAATTACAAAAAGACATGTGGAAATCTGACATTCGCCAGTGCGAATGTTGCGAATGTCTGGATCCGCCCCTGAGTATCATATAGAACAACCTTGATGACTCCATTTACACTAAGAATGTATCCTGGAAAGTAGACAGTTGCAAATTGCTTCATTTTCCTCTATTATAAAAAGCATTTAGAAAATAAATGAAATGTACCCATACCTTGGACAGATCACCCATGACCAAACAAGGCCAGCAAAAATAAGTGTTCTTTTCTGCATCGCCACACATCCATAAAAAATTATTGTAAACGGTCTCACTGTCACGGTTTTTAATTTCAATTTTGGGACAAGGTCTCCCATCTTTTTTCAAACCAAGACGTTGCTCGTGAGTTAATCGGCCCTGGGCAGAAGAGAGCGCAAAAATACGCGAAACTCCGAAAAGGTAGTCAATCTCTGCGATTTGATTCATTTTCATCAAGATCAATACAACTTGACTGCTCTGGTTACGAGAAAATTTGCATTATGAATGAAAAGGCCAATAAGCTATATATACAAAATTCATCCAACCTACGTCATTTTGGATAGAGAAGAGAATTGCATCATAGTAACCAAATAAGGCATTATTGTACGGGCTGTTAAATTAGTCACTGGGATAACCCCACTGTCATACCCAGAAATAGAAAATAGACCAGATGCCTTTGAATACCTCTCAGTTTGTTTGACGTCATTTGAAACTGCTGAAAAGACTGCGGGGTTGCTTTCATAATCTTGAACGGAATGACATATTTTGGCGGCCACCCAATACTACTAGAAAGAGGAATCTAGTACTGCGAACGAATTTTCCATTGTTGGATTACCGAAAGACAAACAGTTTTACGTCATGATGTGTCGACAAATACAATGGGACAGTCTTCCGCAGTACTGGATAAATGAGGTCTAGTACCGTAGCCTACATTCAACACAGCGCAGAGACAGGTCATTCAACGAGATAAGTGAGGGAGGGTAGACGGTCAGATATCGGCTGTGTTGAACTCTGCCGCTCTTTCTATTGTTTTCACAATTAATTCAGTATGTTTGCATTTTTTTAAAATTAACAAAACAAAGCCATATAAAAAATTCAAGCTTTCAAAATAAAATGGTACTAGACTGGTACCACCAGTACCGCCGCAAGCCGCCACTGACTATAGCTGATTGTTTGCAAACCCAAATAATATGACAATAGATGTTAGCAGAAAGAAGAGCTATATAGCTAAAGCAGCCAAAAAGCTAAGTGGCCATTTAAGAGTTTATTGAGTATTCTCACAGCAACACAAGAAATCAAACACATCTACTAATATCATACTGTAGAGCCAGTGCAAACAAATCTTTTGTCTTTGAGATCTGCCAGACTATGTACAAATGTGCCTGTAAGGTAGGACTAGAACAAACAATAACAGGTTTTAAGAGCACAATTGAAAAATAGCAGTTAGCATTAAGACATTCCAGTTTGTTAAAAAACAGAATTTGAATGCACATAAATGACTTCAATAAACTAACCTGGACTGGACTTGTGTGCTATGATCTGCTGTATAAATTCCTATGTTCAAGTTCTAGTCAACTTGCTTGCCCTGTAGCTTATAGAATAGATGTTTAAATATTTGCAGCAATCTAAGATTTTGAAGCTTAAGGTAGTTTACGTTCACTGGCTTAGCCGCCCAAATATTCTTGCAAGTTTGCACCTCCAAGCAAAAAGTATAAAAAGAATATGCCAAATATAAACCACAGAACATTGGTAACAGACTCTTTGAGCAAAGATCTTTGGCAGGAATGTGAAGGACTGCAGTGGGGGCTTAATCAAAATTGGTTCCCATTTCTATTTTAATGCCCTCAGTAAGATGATGTAAGAGTTTAAGAGGCCTTTAATTGAAAATCACGAGATTCATTTTGATAAAGAAACTAAGAAAATATTAGAGTCAAATATAATTAACCTTGCATTTATTTTCTTACATTTCAAGGAATCACAGGCAATTTTTGGTGACACTGTTCCTCTTTCTCGTATTTTCACTTTCTGTCTTACTTGTTAAGCTTGTGCTTTGATTGCTTGTTTCTTGTTTTGCTGTACGGGAGATGTGTACTTTATTTTCAGTTTCAAGTCATTCATAGTATATGGATTGTAAAGAAGTTTTTTTAAATGTATAGTTATGTGTCATGTCTGTATTGTAACTGACTGAATTGGTTAAAAAATGAGCAGCAATGTCACAGATGGGAAAGAACACCAAAAGGACATTTATTCTCATACCCACAGCTAAATATCACTTTCTTTTCAGGGTAACTGGAATCCTACAAGGTTATATATTATTCCAAAGTAGTAAAGATGGTTCAGTAACCTGTATGAAGCAGCTGTTTGTCCAAAAAAGACTGCATTATGCATAGTGGAGTTTAGCCTCAAACGATATTATTGGTTACAAATGATATTATTGGATATCACTGAATAAATAAGTTGCTCCATTTCTGTTAGAAAAGTAAAAGTAAATTAGATGCTTCTTAATTGAACCCAACAAAGGTTCTAAAACGATTAATATCATTTAATCATGATGGATTATCTCACTTTTTTGTAAATTTTCTTTTAGGTATTTTTCTGACTTTGAACCATTGCTGTATCAGGCAAAAAATAAAAATGACGGAGTTAGTTGTAAAACTTGATTTCCTGAAGTCAGTAACACCACACTTACATGATGCCAGTGAGCAAAATCTTTCCATAAAGGAACTGGACCCAAAAGTAGTTGGTCAAGAGCGCAATGCGATATTGTATACATGGTTCTGTAGACAAGAAAATCGACCGACAAAATGGAAGACCCTGATTTCTGTCTACGATACCACAAGACATGCTTCCAAAATACTTTTCACGCACAATGATAAAATCGATGTTGTTAGTGCCAGTGTTAGCCAGACTTTCATTCTCCTTGCTTTTACTGTGCGGGAGAGACATACCAACGACAGCCACAGTCCAACAGAAATTTTCAAATCCTACCTTGCAGAGATAGCACCTCAAAAGCGCGTGTTTTCTTTAAATATTGAATGGCATACTTATCAAAAAGTTCAATTTTTGTATCAGCAACAACCATCGTTGAAGGAGATTTATATGCTTTTCATCCACCATAAAGAATCTATTGGCTTATATCGTATACCTCTTGCGAAACTCGGTGACGATGGGTTTGTCATGAGTTCACAGCCAAAGACGGATCAAATCATACGTCAGTTTCTTTGGAGTCAGTTTGACCCAACAGAACGAAGACTGTTTTTTATTCAGCTGAAAGCACAGGATGAGGAGGAAGGTGAAGGAATGGTTATATTTAATGCTATTCAATTTGATGATCGTGGTAAACACAGGTACATCTTAAACTTTCAACTGCCAGTCTCCTTTAATGTTGAACTCATGAAGGAACCTGTTAGTTATTTTGACACATATCTTGGACAAACTGTCTCAAATATGAATTTGAATATCACGACCTTGACATCTAGTAAAGGAGCTATGATGGTTTGCTATCAACATCCAGTTGATGATTCAGATAGGGGCAGCAAATTCCAAGAGAGCAGTGAAGCAGATAGACTATCTGTTAGTAGCACAATGCAAGATACCGAAAAGATCACATATTCAGTTTTCTGCATCCACGGGGGCTATACTTTAACATGTTCTGTGTCATTTGTTCCAGCTGCTGCCTCTAGCAACAGAATCTTGTTCACAATGTTTGGTGACTATCTTATGGTATTGCTTTACGGTTGCTTTTTGCATCTTCTTGATTGTGGGAGTGAACACGAACCAATACATCATATTCTACTAGGAGAGGATGGCTGCACTGTTGTTCCTGAATTTGCTCAAAATGGATGTCTGCTTTCATCGGCTGTCTGGGATTACATGCCAGCTGTGCATCACGGTGTTCTGCTATATGACAGTGTGTCACAGAAGAGCTTCAAAATGGCCTTCAATCACAAGTCGCTTATTAAGATATTTTCGACAACAAGACACGCTTCGACGAGAATGGCCATTCTACATTCTGCTATTGTTCATATTAAAGACTCGATGTTCAGCAAGAAGTTGATTGAATGCCTCTGCCAGGATCCTTCCAACATTGAATGCAGTGAGCTGTTAAAAGAATACCTTATTGCTTTCTCTTACGCGCGGATGAAGCAACAGCTTAGTTATTTTCTGCTCAAACCGTTACCATTTACAAGCTTTGATCCCTTTCGAGGTCAAGTTGAACGAGATCGAGAGAAGAAGAAAACAGTGTTTTTGTCGTACAAGAAATTCAGTAAGAACCTTGTAGATGCACTGCTTTATCTGCTAAAAGGGATTGAAAGAGAGTACTGGTCATACTTGCAAACAAACATTCAGCTTTCTCAGGATCCAAACTTAGCGAGGTTTCCTGTAAAATCCCTTGCATATTCATATGTCGATATTGACAAAGAGTTAAAAGCAGCTGTCAGAGATGCTGTTGTGAAACCACATGCAGGTATGAAGGGTTTTATATAAACGATAATCGTTACTTGTTTAATGATGTTTAAAAATGATGGTGTTGTATTTCAGCACATGGTAAAGCTTTGGAGAGTTTTTGTATGATCTAGCGTAGGCATACTTCATGTAGGTCATATGACTCAAGTGCAATTTGAAGCCGTTCAAGTTCAACACCAAGGAGTACACTTGAATGTAAGTAAGAGGATTTGTGTGGTGGAACAGACAGGATGCACAGCCCATCTTAAATATTTATGTCGGATTAGTGACTTGTAATTCTCAGTGCTAGAAGTAGTCAAATTACCATCATTTTCCCCGCTCCACTTTATGATTATGCTCTGCTACAAATTATGCTACAAAGGATATATTCATGCCCACAAATCTTTCTATGATTATAACCTGACTACGTTCTTTAATTATTCGTTATCACCGAGGGCTACATAATTTTGCAAACGAACGACAAAAGTATCCTCGGTGAGTCTGTATGCACATTTCGGGCTTTTAGTGCAGTCATGATATTTTGTAGCAAAAGTCAGAGTTTGTCATTATTATAGACAGTTCCACTGGTAGGTTGAAAGCATGGGCTGAAGAATTGGTTCAGATTTTGCCATAATTTTACTTTGCGCCAGGCAAAAACCGGAAAAGTGCCACTTAGTAGCAATGGCACATTGTAATGATTGTAACAGACAGCACTAAAAGACAAATGTAATTCTCAAATGATAATCAAAATAATCAAATGATTCTTGATTGTTCTTGTTCGATTGATTGGTATCTTAGTAACCTATTTTATTCGGCTTCTTTCTGTTCACAGGCAAGTTGCATTTAGGCACTGAAGACGTGGTGCAAAGTTCTAAAAGCTCCACAAAGGAGAAAGGAGCTCAACTCAGAGATGATTACATATCAAAACTAATAACAGAAAAGTTTTCTGCCCATATACTTAAATGCTTTCCACGTGAGAATAAAACGAGAGTGCATAACATCTGCGTTGAATACGCGTTATGTCGCGGGAAAGTAGTTAAGTCCTTATGGAAGCACTTAACTAAGGTATTGGGCTATAATCAGGAATATGATGTGTATGGAGAATCGCTCACAAAGAAACCGTCTGCGACAGGCTACGCTTTATTTCAGATGTTAGAGCGGATCCATCTTTGTATAACACAGCTTTGCTTTCCAGAGTTCAGAGATATGCAGAATGTTTTGATCGCTTTGGCATACCGTTGTCTACCTTCCCATTTGTTCTTGCAATATCTTCATGCTTCGGTGTTCACGGTGTCACCTGATTTCGTCACGCGTTTTATTAGTGAAGTGCCAGATGAAGATAATATTGGTATAAAGGTCGAGCTCGTGTCTGTCTTACCGCGAAGCCACACGAAAGCTGTTCTGTCCAAGTGGAAACACCCAATCGCTAAGAGGTTCCTTGTAAACGAACTTCTTGGAAAATTTGATGGACCAAGTAAATTGAATGAAATTGATGCTCCTGCTACTGCAGACGGCATGGAAGAAGGAGTCAACGACCAAGACGTAACTGGTTTCGACAGGTTTTTGCCACGTGAAACATTTTTGAGAGCTATTCGCCTTGAAGGTAATTCAAAGGCTTTTGAATCACATCAGCTTACTGGGGAAGAGACAGAACTTCTAAAGTCGTTATCGTTAAGAGAATGAATTTTACTATCATGTTTAGCTATATCACGTCCCTGTATTAGATATAGAAGATATATTAGATAACAGAATATGATTACCATAGAAATGACCGCAAGTCAAAGAATGAAAATGATTTAACCTGTAGCGAAAGTTTCGTCCATTGATTCATGTTAATAAGATACATTTCATCGCTTTAGGAACCCTCTAAAATTATTCTTCGATTTATAAAAAGTTGAGAGTCCTTTTACTAGGAAAGAGTTATTGTTAAGTCACGAACTTTGTCGAACGATCTCTCCGTATATATTTTTGTATAATGGAACGTTTTAGGTTCGAAAGCACAACTTACAACGAAAGCACGGACATACAAATTTCGGACACATGTTCAAGAATTCCGGACAAAAACTTTTGGATATCAGGTTTTTGATAATACCAAAATATGTGTGGAAACTAACTGTACATTGTTTAATGACTGGCAACTTTACCTAGCTATAAAGGTTGAAAAGAACTCGACAAAAAAGTAAAACTAAAAGAAAAATTAAGGAAAGATTAGGAGGAGAAAAGATCCGTGAGCTTCATGAAGTTTAAAGCGAATTTTTCAATGTCCTTGTAAAAAATGAGACGTGTAGCAATTCAAACTTTCTCAAGACTCATGAACCTCGCTAGTACATCATGGACATCAGCTAGTATCCTAATTATTTTAACCGGGATGCTTACCAATTCATCTTTCAATCTTTCTCTCTTAATGTCCCTTTCATATCGTAAGTCCTAGTCAAACTGACCAAATATCACCTAACATTGCAAAAGGCACCCACATTACGGTGGAAGGAGACAGCCAGACAGACAATCATTGCCCTTGAAATGAGCAAATTTCCTGAATTTGCTGAAGAATGACATTAGTTTTCCGAGAATTTTGACAGGCATTGGGTATTAGTAGCTACATACAGCTTAATATTGTTAAAAAGAACGGCCCTCCACTGTCAGTCAACCAATTGCTTTTGCTATTTATAATTTCAAGCGAAGAGAAAGCTTTACATTTGATTACTAGCAAGTCATTGACCAATTAACTTATCTGCACTTCTTCGAAAAGAGTTGAAACTCTAAGAGCTCAAATGAAATCTGATCTTAATTCTTAGCTCTACATGAGATTTCAAACCCTTTTTACACGAGAGGAAATGTATGAATTCAATTGGGTCCGAATTTACGAATCGAAATCGATATACTGTTGACTGTTGCTGTTTAGCATATTCCTTTTTTACAATGTTTATTAGATTAACCGTATTTTATGGCTGAATCTTTAGTGGGTGTGGTTCAATTTTTTCTGCTACGCCCTAGACCGGGCCCTTTGAGTTTGCTAGCCACCCTGCAATTTTGACACCAGACCGCCCCTGGGCTAGGGCTTTTTACTTTAAGCTAATCTAGGTACTGTCTTTTTTCGTTTAACGTAGGTTATTATCAGCTCTATGCTGCCTTCTCGACCCCTGATATAAGAAATAGACAATGCATAGATGTATGTATGCTTCTATTGTGCATCGAATTATCGATAATGGTAGTATTTTGCAACTGAAACTTAACCACTGGTATTAGTGAACGAAAATCAACGAATTAACATGCAATACACATTTGAAAGAGATTATTACCTGCTTGAGAAACATGCCATTTCACCAATAATCGAAAGCTGTGGATTGTTTCGCTCACTCAAAACATGTATCCCATCATTTGGACGAGAACTGCAATGCATCGACGATCTTCACCCAGAATTGTAACAGATACAGGTCAACGCTATGCTTACCACAAAGTCATTTGCAAGGCCGTGTGTATGTTATTTTTACAACTGTTTTGAATGAACATAGGTTGGCCTAAACAGAAACAGAACTGCACTTCAAGATTGATCTCCTTAGATATTTTCAAAATCGATCTTTAAAACCCAATGGACGCTAAAATCATGATTTCCTCATGAACGACCTTCTTTAGGCTTTGCCTGTGAATGTCTCTTGATAGGACAGCTGAACAGTAGAGGTGTTTTTCTTTCAACCAGGTTTTCCTTTCAACGATTTTTCTTTTGTGAACCGAATTTTTTCGATAGTGGTACTGTGCAGCATGCATTCGCCCAAATTCATTTGAGAAAGTAATGAAACATTGAGAAAGTACCGAAAAATTGAAGAAAACCAAGCCTAATGGAATCAAATTTGCTAACTTGCTTGAAAGAATTATTTTTCTGGCCCTATATCCTAAATCTTTTCTGGCCCTAAGCATTTACTCACCTGGCTGCACAAATCCTTACACAATTGTACTTGAGAAACCAAAAAAAGAATACGAGAGTGCTTCATTTAACCGATAAAGAATTTGAGTAATGCTTTGAATAATGAATAAGTCTTCTCCTTCATAAAAACCAAAATCTAATGCAATGTAAACATCAAAATCTGGTTTCTAAATTTGATGTAGTTGTGGAATAAGTCATTCTAATCCAAGACATAAGTCGACCAAAAGCCAACCATCCATATTCGATCAACACACTGAAAAGACATCGATAAAAACACCTCAAAGTATATTTGATGGGTACCATAGCACTAAGACAGCCTAATACAAAAAATCCTATAGATCAAGCTAATGCAGTATGGACAGACGTTTTGGATTAAGAGCGTGTGCGGGATGGTAAAATTAACCAAAAAGACTATTAATACACCAAAGAAATGAAAAAGTGCCACAAAAGTCTTCAAAATAGAGGATGGGATCAGCTCTCCACATCCGTTGGTACTTTTTGAAGTCTTAAGCAATCCTTGAAATTTATTCATGCTAGTATGTATTAATGCTTCCCAATATTGTCACAACTAACAATAAAACACCATAAAAAATGAAAAAAAATGAAATACAATACAATACAATACAATACAATACAATACAATACAATACAATACAATACAATACAATACAATACAATACAATACAATACAATACAATACAATACAATACGTTAGCATATGTGATGTTTGCTACAGAAAAAGTCGTTATCTTTAACTATTCGTCTTAAGGTAACGATTTTCACCACTCAAAGCAGCAAGCAGGTGAGTCTCGACTAAATGCATTGAAAGAAAGTTGAGACAAATAAAGCACTAGATTGGTTATCAAAATAAAAAGGGATTTTGGTGGCAACGATAAGCCAAAAAATTACTTTACAATTATCAAGAAAAAAAACTAATTGTCTATGGCATATAAATATATGATAAAAAGCAAAATATTTAAATTAACAAAGAGTTGGGATTTTCAAAATTCTGACGCTTCCTTCTAACGAAAAGCTGTTTTCCTTGAGACTTAAAAGTTAACAGAGAATAGGAAAGGCTTACTTAAAAAGCTCTCTAAAAACCTATAACTTTGCAAAACAATAGGAACAGCAGAAAACAGTATCGTCAGAAATTTAGGGCATCTTAAAGGCCCCATTCATATTTTCAGTTCCCACCTTAAAGACTCATTGCTAACAATGGGCCTTTGCGAGCGTGGCGACGATCCAAACAATGCCAGTAAACTTCTACGGATTAATCAAAATTGATTTCCGACTGTCTAAAAATGCATTATGGGATGGTTGCGTAGCGCAATGGCTCATTGTTAGCAACGAGTCTTTAATTAGAAGAAATTCTATATCATCATTATCATTATTGGCGTCTTAAAAATTATGATTTCATAATATAAAATTTAAAGTGGCATCTTAAAACTGTAATTCTACCGAAGCTTAACGGAAAAGCTGTATTTTACACAAAAAACCCTTGGGAACATAAGTACTACATATCTCTTTAGTAAAGACATCGTAGGATTTCTATTCATCTTGTCCTGTTTTCCTGATGTAGGATCTATATATCTCTAAATGATCTAAGTCTGCTTCGATTGATATTTATGAAGAAATCGAATTCATGAATGACCCTTGAATCCTACTAAACAAGTCTAGCCGATTTCAGGTCAAACACTACTTAAGATTACTGTATGATGAACGTCACAAAACTTTTAGCAGATGTATAAAGCAACTTAAACCTTCACCAAAATTCATGCAAAAACTTTCTTTAAAGAACTGGTTGTATCTTGAACTGACGCCTTTTACTTCCTGTCTCAAAAAATATGAACTCTCCTCCTCAAACTTCTCCTCAAAACTATAACAGGACTGAGTGTAACCAAATGGGTTCTCTTGTTGACATGAAGTCATGTACGAAAAGGAACTTGGTGCACAAATGTTCCTTTGAACGCCCAACAATATCAATTTGAGAGCACATTTACCCTCTCAACAAAAATGTAAGCTACTTCATGGTTGAGAGCTAGTCTCTTCTACATCTACTTGTATAATAGGCATCAAACGATATTCGAATTAGGCCCATCTACCACATTTCTTTGTACTGAATCTGCAACGAAATTGTGGACCGATGTTCCAAATTCCATTGCACAGCATTAATATTATCAGCTAGCTTCACCAATGCATTCATTTAATGGCATATTTCACACGATTTGGGGCAATACAGAGCCATCCTTCCTTTGTGATTGTCTGAACCACAAACAGGGACAAATCTTTTGCAGAATGTTTTGGCAAAGTCTCTACAGGCTACAAAGTGACCAAAATAAATATGAAAGGCTTTTTAAAAGCAAAGCTTCACATGCTGAATATTCTAATTAGCCTATGTACGCTGAGGCCATGGACTATTTGGAAGTGATACCCAACGCTCTCCTTTTCTTCTTCAAGCTTGTTTTAAAATCTCATACATTACCCCACCACTGAGACTTAAGTGTTGCTTTTGGCTTTAGCCCTAGATGTGGTACATGGATTTCATTTCATCAATTCTGGGTATTATATCTTAACTGATGTCGTGCAAAGACGGCATTTAAGAATACTAGTACTGAAGGAAAGCAAATCTTTATAAATACGTACCAGGAAATTTTGGACATCCTTTATAATCTGTTCCTTTACAAGGAGTCTTGTTGTCTAGGCAACAACCAAATTTGGTGTAGTGGCAAGAGGGTTTCGAAGCTTGAGCAGCTAAAAACAAAAAATTTTGGAGGTTGAAAACAGTGCACTGCACTCAGATGATTATAATAAGTTAGGACGGAGAAAATGTAGCAGCAGTCAAAACGTTCAAAAGAAAAATTCAAAGCTACGATTTTGATTGCAGTTGTAGATTGTGTAGATTGTATATATGTAATTTAGGGTTTTTATAGTTATATTCTTAAAAAGTATTATCTCGTTTGTAATTTAGATTTAATTTATTATAGTATCTTGTATTTAAGTTTCGGTTGGCTTAAATTAGTACGTGAGCTAGCAATAAGCACCAACCTTGAATAAAGAAATCATTATATTTGTTATAACGTTATTTGTAATGGACAGAGAGACATTACTATAGCCCCAGCTCACTAATTACTCAAGATTTTGTATCTAGGATCTTTTCTTTTACAAAAAACGCCATGCCTCTTTAGTACCGTCGGATGACCCGCAAAACAACTCACTAATATTTCCTCAACTGCTGCCTGAAATTCACAATTGAGAAAAAAGGGACAAAATACAAAGACATACCGCATACGTGACAGGATACAGGACACATTTTTCTTAAAATTTGCAACCGCGTTTTGCAATAGCCTCGAGCAGCCCAATTTCTACACAGGACCGGTTCCTTTTTGCTGCAAAGTTGTCGCTTGTCGGAAGCGGCAAAACCTGAAAAAAGGCATTTAACATAAAATAAATAGGTAACCTTGTGATTTAATGAAATAGTCTAAATATCGAACATGTGTGTTGGCGGTTAACCAATCCGTAGCAGAGTGCTTGATGGTATACTGACCTAGCTGACAGGCGCTCTCAGAATTATACAGGAAGTAGAGATTTCTAAGAAATTGAATACATTCTAGCTAGTTTAAAGAGGAAACGGATCACAGTAGAGTTTATGTAAAACGAAGATCATCATCGAAGATCATCAGCCGGGAGGAAATTATTTGAAAGTTTTGAAAAATCAGCGAAGCCATCAATGATTGAAGAATATCTCGACAAGTGATTATTAAAGCGACGTACCCCGAGATTGGCATTTTCCGAAGTTCTTCACAGTAATGCGGCTCAAACTGTGGTGTCCGCAATTGACTTTTTTTAGTTCACAAATATTTTTGTATTCTTTTCCGTCCCTTCCACACAAGATGCCCGTGTAATGATCTCCAGGATGACAATGACCATGACATTTGCAAAATGGTCTCATGTTCTCGTCAACCATGCAGACCGAGCCTTTTGGGCAGGAAAATTCAAAGCAAGGGTCTTTCTTACCTAAATTAAAGATCAAGAATAAAAAGGAAAATTAAATAAAGAAATTTTGGGTTTAACTCAAGTAGGAATGAAAGTTAAGGTAACCAGTATAAAGTTTTCTACATACAGAACAAAGCAAACATAAATTCGCGTTATCACGCTGATCAGACTGGCCTGACAGTTTTGGCATGGCAAATGTGTTACAGTGTAGAGCATATGACACTCCATGCAAATCTAAACAAGGCTAGATAACATTGATCATGTGACGTCTATCTGTTTCGCATGGCATAATCATAGTTAAGGCCTAGATTAGTAAAAAACTACTTAGATATGTATAACATTGGATTTTACCGCAGGCATCACAAGACTTTCTGCATATATTTGTCATTTCACCCCTTTTCAAAGAACATCCGTTGTATTTGGCTGCAAACATACATCCAACTGGGTCTTCATCTTCACATGGTCCTAGAAAAAGAGAACATGTCATAACACATGTAATCACCTTTTCACCCCAAAATTCAGAGACAGATCCCCAGCGAGTTCCATGGTGAACAGAACAAAGTCAGTTTTCCAACATAAAGCTAAAAATAGTGCTACTTGAAAGAAGTAATACTTAAACAAAAAAAGGGAAACCTAAAAATTCTTAGTTTGATATAACTCGCTCGCTTTTGTCGTCCTTTCTTCTCTGTAATAATTTCTAAGACGCTGTGGAGGACAACAAACCACCAGGTTAGCTCTGTTACCCTGTTATAAAAGGAATTCAATCCTAGCACTAAGAGATAAACGATTTGAGTCTCGGAAGTGAGTGAAATAAAACAATGGGAGTTTTATTTTGAACACGGATGAAACTCAGTCAGAACAGCATCTGCAACTCGGAAATGATACCATATTTGTCAGATAGCTGCACAATAGCCAGCAGTTAATTGGCTGCCTATTGTTTATGTTCTGGCATGGGTGGGACAGCATTACATTGAATTCGAAATGGCGACTTCAGATGTCTTATATTCGCGACCCTCGCAGCATTCTATCAGGTTATTAAGCGTTCGAAATAAAATCTGGAAATATCGTTGATTTTTCAGAAGCATTCTCTACCTTTGCTTTACATGGCAGTTTTTGATGACAAGGGAGAACAAACTATGTTCAGACGGAATAGTAACACCATATTTTGATTTATTGGTTGGTGTCTGCGGAGGCAAAACAACAAATTCGCGTTCCATCTAAAAGTGATCCAATCTTATTTTGACATTGAAATGCGAACAAATAAAAAGGAAAAAAACTTTGCTGTAGCATCTAAGTCAAACAAAATGGTATTTGAGAAGGGAAGGGGGTTGAAAAATTGTCACAGTGGCACGTTTTGGTCTGAAAGAAATCTAAAATCTAGATGTAGTGAGTGGATAGTACCCCGTGGATAGTCCTTGGAAGGAATGATAAGGTAGGTCAAAAGTAGCTTGCATGCATTCAATTACAGATAATATCGTATTGCTGTAATAAAACAAAAATACAGTTTTCTCAACTTTTGGCGGGCATCCAAACTCTCACCCCTAACATGGGTAAATAAGGGCGAATAAGGGCGAATAAAGGTGAATAAGGCCCCGTCTACACCAATACGTTTTCAAAAAATTGCGTTTTCATTTTGATGAAAACGGATAACAGGTTTTCCGTCTACACGCACGTTTCACATTGTTCATTCCGTCCGCAAAAATCTGCGCAGGCGCATCTTTTTGCTAAGTTTTTGTTGAATCGTTTTCAAAAACTTGCGTTTTCGGCTGTCTATACGGAAACAACGCTTTTTCAAAATGTTGCGTTTTGAAAATAGTTCCACTCTGGAAAGCCTTTTCAAAAAGTTGCGTTTTCAATCGCAGATTTTCCGTTTTCATGTAGACAGTAAGCTAAAACGCAAAAATGAAGTTGGGTTTTCATTTGAAAACATACTCGTGTAGATGGGGCCTAAGTTGACTTACTGCAATATCCACAAGTGACAGCACACTCCCGTATGGCTTTTTCATGGTCTTCGTAACATTTACCACTCCTTTTTAGATTCGTACAATACGATTTCCCGAGATGGTCTTTGCAGTCATCTAAGAATAAAACGGATAATGTTTATAACGATCACAAGAATTCGACATCGCTCAATTTAGACAGGCAGGTGTGACTTCGCAATCATTCAAGTATACGATGCAGGGGCGGCGCCAAGAAGTTCAAAGTTGAAGACATTATTAGACTAAAAAACCAACTTTTGAAAAACGCACTGAAATGCTTCACGATATCTTATGCCTATGAGTTTATGGGGGCACTCATTATGCTAGCGGTATATTGGAAGGCCGGCGAGAGGTTTTCGGAGGCCTTAGTTACACTAATTTTTTTATATGAAACAAAGGTCGATGTAATTAAGAGTTTCTTAATTATGATGTCATGAATGATGTTATGAAATGTTCGTGACCTTTTTTATCAAGTCAAGAGATTCGCTTCCGTTCCGATGCTGTATTTAGATGTGGGAAGTATATTTTTATCCCTTGTGTCTTAAGTTCTAGGCCAACAGGCTGAGCCCATGCGATGATTTTGAATAAGTATTTGCATGTCTGTTTTCCCGTAAATTATAATTCTATACAATTCTTTTGCCAAATGCGTCTTGATATGAAGCTATGATTAAATCAATTCAAAAAGGAAGACAGATCGGTATTAAAAGATCTCAGAACATATTTCAGTGTCTTCTTTACCGAAAAATTAAGCTACCACACCAATGAGTTTCCAAAAACAAACTTGGCTCAATCGTATCAATGCATTGTTAAGAGCTACATACTAATGATTAAAATATCAAAAATTTCTGTAGTTGGCTTTGATTGGCTGCTTGATTTTTAGATATGATTAAAAGAAAGCGACTAGTTCATATTCTCACAAGGTAAATAAGTTGGTTAACGTGACATACTCTGAGACAACAACAACATCAATATCAACAACAACAACAAAAGCAACAACAACAACAAAAAATAAGCAGCTTATGTGTTATTGATGCCATTATATATTTGACACAATGTCTAAGCCCAATCTCCAGTGAGACAAGGTATTGCGAAATTTCGCTGCGAGAACACGCGAACAAATTCCTTTGAATGCTTTTGTTGACCTCACGACATTGGAATGTAAAGTTCGGAAGCGTGATAAAGGAATACGGAATATGATTGGCTGTTGAAGGATTTCGCAAGCGAAAAGCGAAAAAAGGTAAACTCATTTAAACTTTTTTTCGCAGAGAAATTCTTCGCGAGAAATCCTAGCAAAAGATCACTGTGCATGCCCAAGACGTATTTCGCGCGATTTTTTTCGCATTTCGCTCATTTTTTTCTCATTGGAGATTGGGCACAAGAAAATATAATCTTTCAAAACTACTATCAGGGGCGGATCCAGACAAAAATTTGACATTCTCAAAACCCATTATGACCGACCGACCACGCCCATTTCCCGGAAACGCCCAAGAAATTGTTTTCTGTCTTTTATGGATGCAATGATTAAAATTATTGAAATTTTAAGAGGAGAAATAGAAACAAACAATAAGAAGTGGCAGACACCCAGGGGAGATGAAGGGAGGTAGTTGTTCCCCAACATTTTGGGAAGACAGAGGTCTTTTATTCTAAAAAGAATGGACAAATGTGATGTCATCTTATCAAAAAAATAGGCTTGCCCCCTCATATTATTGCCCAAAAAACAACAATGATGCAACATTAAAGAATTATTTAATAAGCATAGCAACACTAGTAATTGAAAATTGGGTAATGCAGGGAAAAATAACACAAAGATCAAGACAAAATGTGTGTGGAAAATTGTGCTTGGTTTTCTAATGGTTTAACATGTGGAATTTTATAGAAAGAAGTGTAGTTTTGTGGACATCCAAATGATTGATAAAAATTTAAGGGCACAAGACTCATCATAGAAGAGAATTATTAACGAAAGTTGACCAATGAAATTACTAAAAATGCAGGCACTTTCAGAGTATACAAGCCATAGAAACTTGGACAAAGAAATGGGCAAAAACCTTTTCTAGCAACAAAAGTAGACTGCTAAGGCTAGTCAACTTCTTTCTGGATGCTAACTCTCTTAAATGCATCATATCTTTTGGCATATGATAATTGCACTGCTTTAGAGTAAATTATTTCTGCATCAAAGTCAAAGTCTGTATATCTGTTTCAGATTTGTTGTTCATCATTTGGAAATACATGGAAGAAAAATTACTTTGGGATGACTGTCTATTTAGAAGATCCATCAAATTTAAATTTGAATCTTCTGAGACCTGACACTTTATACTAAACTTCCCTTTGCTTAGCTTTCAGATGCACTTTCTTTTGTCAAAGAAAATGATAATTTTTTGCCTTCATAATATTTCCTTCCACAGGAATGTTAACCAAAATTAGCTTTTTATCCAAACCACAATTCCATCAAAACTTAGTCTGGTAATAGGCTTGCTAAAATAAGCAAACAAATGCATTTCTCATCATTTTTCTTGTTGAAAGACTACTCCATTACTCCAACTCCTGCCATACTAGATTACATCATACCAAATACTGCATTTTAACATGCATTAAAAACAGATTCTATCTGCCTTTACTGTGTGTACTAACTTAATGTAAAACATACTTTAATGGACAGCATTTCCAGTTCCTAGTACTACCTTGCTCAAATAAATATATCTCAAGATTTTGACTTCTGTGTTGCATTCTCAATAAACCTTGTTCGTTATTGGCTTAGTATCAATAAAACAGAAAAGGAGATGCATCTCCAAAACAAGAGTGCAGTGTATGACAATAGGCCCATGTAGCTCATATGATTAACCACATAAAATTTCCAAAGATGCAACATGTCAAATGGTTTCAAAATAGAACACAACAGCCCACCATAGCATAAAACTTTTCACCAAAGGCTGTGACAACAAATCCTATTCTGCTTGGTAACAATATCAGTAACAAGACTGTAAGAAAGTAATGACTTCTCTAACTGTTAAAATCTCTCTTAACTTTTTTACAGCTAGTTCTTTAAATTAAATTACAGCAAAAGTGAAAATCAACTTGCAAATAAATAACATGTTATTTTAAAACAAATTAAATAGCTATTCAAACAAACTAAAATGTATCCATAAACATTATATTACAAAGATAGGCAACCATTTAATCATTGAATGAATATTCTAGTTCTAGTTAAATTCAGAACAGTGTAATATTTGTGAATTCTACATTTAAATCACATTACACAAAAACAGAAAGACAATGGTAAGGTATCGGTGTTAAATTAAGTATTTTACCAGCATCCAGAGGGGCCAGTCTGCAAACAAAACAAACTTTTTGCAGAATTTACCACCTGAGCCTCTAGGCCCAGTAGCAGCAGCACAAAATGAACCCCTATATAAAAATTTTCAGCAGTACCTCAAAGTCTGACCCTTTCTCGTTCAACAAGGTTCAGCCATCAAAATGAAAGAATTCTTTTGCCACAATAAATGTCGAAGGTTGTGTGTTACGATCTGGTTCTGGCGCCTAGGCCCTCCCGGCAGACTTGTAAGTAACCATTCCCTAGTCAGCGAAAAAAAATACTCCTCGATGGTATCCAAAGCACAATCGGTCAATAACTGTTTCAATTCTTCCAATACATCCATACTTGCAATGGGCTCTTGTGAAATTATTCTCTAATCAAGCACAAACACAAATCATTACCAGGCACTGCCACTGCCACAGCCACTGTAGTCTGGACTGGAGTGTGGATTCTTGATCACGTGAAGTTGGTGTTCCCTGTCAAATTTAGCTACTTTGTGGACCAGCCCACTAACTTCTCAAGATTCTCAAACTGCGACGTAGGCAAGACCTCATTAAATATATGTTAAACATATGCCAGATATACCCTATTAAAAGTGAATGGGTTTAATACGTCATTCTGGCGAATTTTCCTCTCGTTAAAATCTTTCAGGTCGACCTCTTCTAAGTGACAAAAATGAATTGAAATTCTCTGCGTGCGCATGCAGAAACTGCGTGCAACTTTCTAAAAATGCGAAGGAACTTCTCAAAATGCATGGCAACAGTCGATAAACTTTCTAAAAATCATGCCTAGATACAGGACGCGGCGCAGCCTCTTACTACTCTCCTGGGTACTAGGTTCAATGAAGGAGAATTTGGTTTTTCATCGGAGAAGATATAAAAATGTTTCGCAAAGGCAAAACGGAGTAAAATATAGCAAATACGACGATTATGTAGAAATAAATACCTAAAATACATAATAGAAAGATGTATGCTTATCTTGAATCTTAAATCTGAGCTCATTCATTACTTTTAGCATTTTATTTAGAATAATCAAACTGGGAAAATCTGACATTCTAAATTGAGAATGTTGAGAATGTCTCGATCCGCCCCTGACTACTATCGACTACTTTTAATAATTGAAGCTGTTTATCAGCGGCGAAGGCCGACACAAAGGCCACTAGAATAATGGTGAAGCAGTGATTGATTGCATATTACTTGCTAAACGTACCATTGCAACCAAGCATGTTTGGTCCTCTTGCTAGTGTTGTATTGTCGAAGCAGCAACCATATTTTGAGATATGGCAAGGTGGATCGGCTACAAACGACAAAAATGTATCTCATTAGAAAAAGCGTTAGGCAAACCATACACAAATCTAATTGCATCAAGAAATATCGCAAAATTTGGCGAGTATTCTAAAATTGCATGGAAAAGTTAATGAAAGAACGGTTTGCCTTTATATAATTATTGAAAATAAAAAGACAGACATTTAGATATAGATATTTCACTATCACATGCAGGTATACGCAAAAGATTAAACGAAAAAGGATTCGGAATAGATAAATTTTCTTTAAATCATTACTACGAAGGTAAATAAGGATGAGAAGAATCAAATGATCGAATCAGACTAAGATAGTCAACAGTGATAATGAGGTTTTTTGTCGATTACCCTGCATTACCAAACTGTATCAATTCGAGAAAGTGCGATATTACTGTGCCGTTAAGGAGCGAGTGTTAAGAGTGATTGACGAGTGTTAACATTCAAGAGCCGTTAAGATTGGCAACTCAGATTGCTTTTAGTAAAATATTGAAACAGATCGTATAAATCTGTAACTAACTGGGAAAGTAACTCTGTATCATCAAATGTTTTCAGACCTCATTGATCGAACCGCCAGATAATTCTGACAGATTAGCAGAATTCTTCACGGAAAGAACCGATAATCCTAACAGGAATGGTTGGTTAACGGCTCAAAACATACTGGAGTGAACTTTGAGTTGAAATAAGATCGATGATGAATTATGATGATGATTATTATTATTTTTCAAAGGGATGATACAGGACATTCAAACTTACTGCACATTTTACACGCTCTTCTGCAATAAAGCTCCATGCTTTCTCTCCGTAGATTGCAGTATCCATTATTTGCCAGGTAATTGCACGATCGTTCATCTAGTCGATTGGCACATTCTAATTCGATGGAGCGAGTGTTTCGAACAGAGAAGGCAAACAAGGCTCTGTCAGCTAAAAGAAAAAAAATCACTTTTACTAATTGTAAAAATTCAAACTTAAACTACTTGATACTTTCCAAATCCTTCTTGTTTCTGAACTGAATGCGCTAAATGTTGCAATATGCACAACATGTACAGTTATCTAATATTAGAGACCGTCTGCAAAGACCCTTATGCTCCTCAATTTTCCTAACAAAAGAAGCACCAGATATTAGGCTTTAGCCGCCCCCCCCCCTCAGTTATTTCCAAAATGTACTAAAAATCATAACAAAAATCGCCCTGCTCTTGGTTTTAGCATATTTAGCCCCCCCAAAAGCGTTTTAGCCCCCTCAATTTGTAATATGCTTCGCGGTCATTGGTACGCACGCCACAATTTCACTCTCTGCGACCCCTTTGTGAAACTCAAAGACGAGGAAACGAAGAAGGAACGCATATCAGTTTCGTCAATTTCGGCTCACATGATTTTTGACTACAGTAGTGCTCATATACCGTAAATCCTCGAATTAGCCCTCGAATAATCCTTATTTTTTTATATTTTTGGATGGGGGCTTATTCGAGGGGGGGCTTATACGAGGGGGGGGGGTTATAAAATTATTGAAGACAATGTTTATTTATGTGCTGAACCCTGTTCTGTTAGAACTGAAGTGTACAGTTAGTCATCAATATGGGCGTAGCAAATGCTACTCGTTTAGGGGGACTTAGTATGAGGGCCAATTATAGGTGAGGCAGCCCTCCTAGCCGTAATGTCCTATACGTCTATGGCCATCAAGATAGACATACGAGTTGAGCTTGCTGTTGCTTTGCCCAAGGCCTTGTCGATGCACAGGCGCAGATATTGGTAATAGGCATGTTGTGTCACGAGACACCAGGACAGAGTATCAAGTTGTTTTTTAAATGAGAGTACAGATAAGAAGTTTTAAGTGATTGACCTGGTTTTGGATACAAGTCATCTGGCACAAATATCTTCTAACACATTAAGAGACACGCCTTCGCAGTAAAACAGTGTTAGAAAATATACCAATCCTATTTTTAACAGAGTAACACCAAATGAAAACAACAAATCTTGACCTACAATGAGCACTGGGTCAAAGTTTGTGAATAATTTAGCTACTGGCTCTTTCAACATGCAAATCAGATCTTAGTTACCAAAGAGTGAAAACTACCTTCAAACGAGGCACATGGAGATATGGGACAGACTATAAGGTAGAGACAGGTTTTTGTCAAAGGAAAACGTTTAATTCATTTGCGACTAACATCCAAGGATTGAAACATCAATAAGCTGAGCCAGGATTTATAATTCTGAAACTTGGCAGCCAATTGATTTCAGCCTGGCAAACTTGACGCTGGACACACCACCCAAACCAAATCAGACGTTTGGGAATTCAGACCTTATTGTTTGGGAATTAAGACCCAGCTATAATCATTGGCAAAAGTTTTTACCAAAAAAAAATTAAAGATCAAATTCAACCACACTGCTCATCCTTTTCACAATATTTATTAAATTAAAAAGAAACAAAAGGTTAGCAAGAACGTTATTCGTGTGATTGATATGACATTTACCTTGTCTTAATAACACTCCCCTGCTCCCCTCACATGACAATGATCAACAGGGAGCGAAAGTAAAAAAAACAGTTGTACTCAAAAAAGGATAAAAAATAGAACCATGACTCATTGCTCTAGGTGCTCAACGTGTGGCTGCCAAGCTACGGCATGTCCAACCATGAGAATAAACATTGTCGAACCACACATAACTCAACAGTGTCAAAACAGCTAATGCTGACACGCAGATAACAAAATAGTTCGTAGAACCATCTTAAAAAAGCAATTTATTTTGCACTTGTCTTTGGCTTCTGTCAAACTCTTTATGCGAAGCCTACCCTCACTCCGAAACTGGCTCCGCCGTTCCTGAACTGCAGTTCTGATAGCAAAACACAAGGATTCTTTATTACTTCCGAATAAAAATACCTCAAGGACACGGAACGTTGCATGCCGATTGGCACAATCTGCTTTGGGCTTAACAAGTTGGAAGGCACCCTAACTTGAATCAACCGGCCTCTATACTCTTTTTTTAAAAGAACACACTTTATAAGAACACTGAGGCTCGATTTGCCCAAAAAACAGGAACAAGGCTAAAAAATGCTTAGCTTCAAATGAGAAGTTTGAAAATTTCTTTAACGGAAATTTTCACAAGCACTCAACTACTGTACCGGCATTTTCTTGACAAAAAACTTTTATGAGTTTGTCCATAAACACTAGCAGTCGTTGCTTTATTTTTAAACTTTACCTAGTAGAACGTCTTAGAAACTATATACACTACGGAACCTCTCAAATATTTGCAAAAAATCACTAATTTTAAGAACATTTGAGCCTAAAACTATCAACAAGTTGAGAACATCGAGGCTCGGCAAAAATTATCTGGTTCTTATAAAAAAGGACTGTATTTAAAGAAGCGCCAAAAGCAGCCCTCCGATAGTACACCTTATTACGTATAAGGTTTTATCATTGTTGTGACTGTTCTCTAAACTTCAGAAAAAAGATTACGCTTCAAATATTAAAGCACTTAAATAAAGGGACAATAGGCGTGGAAGCATCCTTTCTTATTGTACAACCACACCCAAATATTTGTCGATAACAAAACGATTAAGGAACTTCCCACACCCTTTTGTCGGTATCATGTGTTCTGGCAGTCGTTATAGAGTTTGGAGACTCGCCCTTGCAAGTTAACTGGCTTTTAGTGCAAATGCTATCTACAGATGGCGTGAAGACAGCAAATACAAAGAATCTAAATAGTTCTTTATTAGCATCGGTGTTTGGATCCTATTACTCACGACAGAGTCTAGATATAAAAAAAGATTATCGCAGAGAACCGATGATCCTCTCTCTTAGCAGCATCGTCAATCATTGATTAAAGGCTGCGTTCTAAACAACAAATAAAATGAAGAGAAAGGCACTATTGTTGGTCCATAAGC